CTGGGATGCTTTGTAATCAACTGACCAGTGAGCCATCCCCTGGGCAGACAGAGCTCCACCAGCTCATGGTGCACATCTAGGTGACTTTGCAGCTGGGTGGCCCTGCGCAGGCTTGGGTCCCCTCTCAGAGGCTCAGTTTCCCTGTCTGAGGAAGGAAGGGGGCTGGAACCCCCTTCAGCCCTGAGTGACAATGAACAAGAGGCCTCTCAAATGGTCAGGCCAGGCAGAGTCCTCTCAAGGGCCAACAAGGTGCTATGTGACCTGCCACATGGGCCCCTCACTATTCCTGCAACCCACCACTGTGACCCCACCCTGGGGGAGCATTTGCCCCAAATATCGGCACTGTTCACAACTACCCCCGCTTCAAGACTTGCCAGATGTACCCCCCCAACTATTTATTGTATGTAAACCACACCCCCCACCACACGGCACAAATCCGCCTCTGTCTCCCCACCCTCACTGGAATGTCAGCTCCACGGGACAGGGAATTGTGTCTGCTTTGGCCTCTATGCCGTGCACCTAGAATAGTCCAGAACACAGCAAGAGCTCGTGAAATACGGATGCTCCTTGGCGTGCCATGGAGTCACGTCCCATAAACCCCTTGTAAGTTGAAGATGCATTTAATACACTAAGCTATTGACTATCACAGCATCGCCTGGCTTGGCCCAGCCTACCTGAAATGTGCTCTGAGCACTTATGCGAGCCCACAGCTGGGCAAAACCGTCTAACACAAACAAAGTCTATTTTATAAAATGTGCAGAACATCTTGTGTAATTTACTGAATACTCTGCTGAAGGCAAGAAGCAGATGTACATACGGTACCGGCAGCACGGCTATGCTTCCTACTGAATGCCTACTGCTTTCGTTCCATCGTAAAGTCAAAGAATTGTGAAGTGGACCCCTCATGCACGGGGCCACTGCCTCTGCCCCTGATCACAGCTCACCCCTCTCTGGGCCTGGGCTTGCCTGCTGTAAAGTGAGGGAAGTGCCCCTAGCTGGGTGCTTGCCGGTCCCACAGACACTGTCATGACAGTGACAGCAAATCAGGGAGTCTCTCCTTTTCAACCACAGACTAAGAAATGTCAGAATGGTTTTTTTCCCACCTTGGAAGCACAGAGAAATAAAGGGGGAAAAGAAAAGGCCATTTCTGAGCCAGGCCCCGACCCCTTCCCTCCTGTGAGTGGGAAAAGAAACCCCAAGGCAGAGGTCTGTTCCCTAAGCCTACATCCCGATGGGTGCCGACACCAGGCCCTGGCCGGGGTGCACGGTGGGACAAAGACAAACGTGTCCCATCAGACATGGGACTCCACAAGGGGTCCTCACAGGGGAGGGGACATACAGAAGGTGACATGACATGCCAAAGCCACAGGCAGGTCTGGGGGAGAAGCAGGTCTGTGTTGCCTTGGGTGCTGATTCAGAGCTTTTCTGCCCCTCTCCAAGCTGGCCCGGCCGCTCTCAGCTGCCACCTCCCACCTCCTCACATTCATCTCGCGTGCTGGGATTTGAGGAGAAGGTCTTGCTCCCTTTGGAAGGGGGTCCTTTCTAGGGACCACTGAGTCCTCTGGGCATGGTGTCCAGCTGGCCAGAGGTTTGTGTTATGCTAAGGATGGTGGGGACCTTAAAAGAGAGGACAGGACCTGAAGGGCTAGGAATATGGGACTTGAATGTCAGCAGACTTGTCCACTGGGTTCAGGCAGGGCTAGGGTCTACACCACCATGTCCCTCCCCTGGGGCAGTGGGCCCCATCCTGGAAGGCTCAAGGCCTTCTTCTTATAACAAAAACCAACACCACCCCTTCCTGTGCAGAAATCAAGTTTGACTATAATATAAACTACTTTACACACAGTCTAGACAATGCCTTGTGTGTAATATAAAAGGAAAATAGAAGTCATCTATAATAAATTAGATATGTCAACATGAAACCCTCTTTGGAGAGGGTAGCAGTGCTTGCTAAGAACCACTGGGATAAGCGGTAGGAGTGTCCCACTGGCTTGTCACTGCCATTTAGTCATCTGGCTTCCCTGCTGGGAAGGGGGGCGGGGCAGTGTTCACCTGGCTCTCGGCTGCCTGGCACCCCGCCCAGCACATAGCGGGCGCTCAGTAAGGACTTGGTGGAGGGATGGATGAATGACTGAGTGATGAATTCGGGCCCAGGTGAGATGTGTGATGATGTCATGGGTGGGGTGAGACTGTCGGGGTGCCCAGGCAGGCAGGTGGTGGCAGGATGCTCGTGCGCTCGCTCCGTCGGTGACTGTGCCTCTCCCAGCCCCCCGAACCCCGAACGCTCCTCTGGCGCAGGGGCTGCTCCTCTTCTCTGTGCCCCCAGCGCCCGGCTCAGCGTCTGGCACAGAGTGGGTGCTCAATAAATACCCGTTGAATTTAACGCATCTCAATTCAACAGACATTTATTGAGCGCCCACTGTGTTGAGCGTCACGATCCTACCTTTCTTGGGCGCGCTACGGATGGACATCCCAGGGGTGCAGGGGGTGTGCCTTGCTGTGTGCAAACATTCTATTCAGTAACAGTTGTGGCAGACGGGACTGGACTCAAGTCTGGGGCTACGTGGTGAGCTTCAAAAGAGCCCTGAGAGCAGACTGGATGACCCTTGACCCGTGTGTGCTACCCTTCCCGCCTGAGCTCCTTGTGAGGCTGCAGACAGCAAGACGTGCCTGAGCCAGGCACAGCCAGCAGCCGGGGCTTGCTGCCACTTACTTGCACGTGGGAAACAAGGCAACGGCGCCAAGACAGAAGTAAAGGCACAATCACATGGTTAGACACTGGGTTTCCCACTCCAAGGACCCGACATCGGAAAACTGGGAGAAGGTGAAGGAAGGACAGAATCTCAACCACAGTTGCCGTAGCGAGCTACAGTGACAGAAGGCCACACACACACGCTGCACTGTGGAGGGCTCTCCTGGTTGAATCTCGAATCCCAGCATGGGCAGTCGGATCCTGCAGACCACGTGTGCCCAGGACGGAAGCAGCCGCGTTACCACCTGTGTCTGCGTGTGCAGCGTGGGATGTGAATGTGGCAGCAAAGGGCAGAGGTGACAAACGGTCCTGCAGCACTGTGAGTGGCCAATGGAGGCAGCCGGCACAGCCTCTGGGCCTCACAGGGTCTGCCACCTGCCAGGCTCATGCGCCCCTGGGGCAGCCCCAGGGCACCCTCACTCTGGCACTTTCAGATGAGGGGTGGAAGTCACACGGCAGCAGCGGCAGAGGACACGCCCACGGAGGCAGTGTCCACACAGCACCCCTCCTCCCTCAGCCCTGAGTCCTGCAGGTCAGTGGCCTCCCTGGGCCAAGAGCCGGCCTCCCCGAGGGAGTCTGGGGAGGGCATTCGCATGGCGCCAGACTCACGGCGAGGCCTGCCCGCCACCCAGCAAGGGAGGACGAAAGGCTGGAAAATGCCACCCTGAGATCCCAAACAGCCCTTTCTTGGTTTCCGGGGCTCGCGCCTCGATGCCAGACACTGGGCAAGGGGTGGGCTGCCGAGGAAGCTACCGAGCTGGACCAAGGGGAGCTTCCCCGGCTCCAAGCACAAGTGCCATCAGGGACCAGTGGATGCAAAGCACAGGGACCACGGTCAGGTGGGGGTCCCTGGCCCACAGGCAGGCCCTGCTCCAGCGAGGGGCAGTGGGGCAGCGGTGCTGCAGGCACAGAGAGGGACCGGAGGACAGCATGCGGCTGTCCGTCCCAGCTGCAGACCTCCCAGGCCCCTGTGGGCGGGCACACGGCCATCCCGGATGTGTCCCTCTCCCTCTGGGGACTTGTTTTCTGATGTGGCCTCCCCAGGCTGGCATCAGCCCTGTGCGCCGGCTCTGTGATCCAGCATTTAGAGAGCTGCACCCCGGGCGGGGGCGGAAGCGTGAGGGGCGTACAGACACCTGCTCACAAAGATCATACACAAAACAACACACCTTTCTTTGTTTAAACTTATTCTTTAACACATCACAACTCCCAAGGCTCTGTGTCTTCACTCTGTCCTCCCACACTGAGACACTTTCACTGGTGAGGCGGTTGACAGTGTCTAGTCATGAGGATGAGGATGAGGATGAAGATGGCAGTCTGTTTGCTGAGCACCCACCATGGGCCAGGCAGAGCGCTACCCGAGTACCCAGTTCCGTCCCTTAATGACCCGCGAGGCAGCCGAGCGGAACTAGCCCCCATCACACGGCTGGTCCGTGGTGAGCTTGGTTTGAACTTGGTCTGTCTCACCGCAGAGCCAGGATCTCTCCTCTGCTCCCTCCCCCACGTCCATCCCCTCCTGGTCTCCGCTTCCAAGCTAAGCCCGCCCAGCCCAGCTTAGCCTTATCCCGAGGCGCCTTCCCAGAGACACGGAGTGGGCTAGACTGCAGCGTGCTGTTGGCTTTCACCTATGATTTACAGCATCTTGAAGCAAACGGCATTTCTGGAGTTTTCTCTACATTTGGAAAGCACTCCTGATTCAGTCTTCACGACACCCCTACAGTCAGGCGCCAGCACCTTTGTCTCCCTGTACAGTCTGAGGCCACAGCGTCTCCGACCGTCCAGAACCTTGCTCAGGACATCACAGGAGATGTGGGCAGTGCTGTGCCATCGACTCCGAGTCTGGACTCGCCGCCTGACCACGCCACCCTGACCACGCCACCCTGACCACGCCATGTCTGCTCTGGAGGGAAACAGGCTCTGAGCCTCCACCTGGCAGCCCGGGAAGACTTTTTCTAGAGCAACCGAGGAGCCCGCCCTGGCTCCCCGCTCGCTCCCCGGCTCTGGAGACAAAGTTACAGAGACACGAGGCGTGGCCTCCAGCAGCACGCTGGCTGGCCGAGGGCAGCCACAGGAGACCAGCACGTGGCTCGGGGCCCTGCGCTTCCACCCGGCTTGCCCTGTGTTTGTGGGCTTGCTCTTGTGTCTTTTAACGTGCAAGGCTTAGATCTGGGGGAATCGCTCGGTGTGGGGCCCTCTGCTGTCAGGCTTTTTGTGCACATCATCGCTCCAGCTCAAAAGAGCCACTCACGTGAGTGAAAGTTGTCCCCTTGCACTCTTTGGAGAGCGTCTCTGTCAGTCCCGCTGCTGAGGGACAGTGACTGGCTGTCCAGGTCTGGAGAGTTGGTCCTTGTGTCTGTGTCCCCCTTGAGAATCAGCCAGCTGGTCTTCTGCTAAAGAAAAAAAAAGTCACAGGAGTTTCCAGGTCATCTGCAATGGCAAAAACATCTCACCTTTGTGGCTTCCTTACTTCTAACCTAAAAACTGACCCCACCAAGAGAAAACTTGATATGTGAAAAACCCAGCTTTTGGTAAAAATCCCACCATTTAATGTGGCCTCGCCAGATGCTCCAGAGGCACACGAAGCCTTTGGGGGAAACAGTGTCACCCCATTTTACAGATGAAGCAGCTGAGGCTCTGAGAGGTCCACGGCTTCACACGTGGAGACCAGGTGAGGCTGCCCAATCCAGCCCCAGGTGCTCTACACATACAAACCCGCCTTCCCTAACGACAAGTGCAGGGAGCTAGGGAGGGTGAACTCAGCCCACGGGCCTAGCCTGCTTTTGCCATCGCAGAGAGACCAGGACACACTCATGCACACACGCGGCGTCTCCAGCGGCTTTCACAGAGCTCAGTGGCCACATCAGACAGGGTGTGGCCTGCAAAGCTGGAAATACTTACTCTTTGCCGAACCTGTTCTAGAACAATCATCCCAACTTCCCTGAGGATGCACTTTGATTTACTTCCCATTCACTGTACACACGTCCTCAGTTACAGAACCATAAGCAGGCCACCCGGGCTAAGCCCAGGGCTTTGGTGGAAGGGCACACCCTAAGAGGGAACTGGCCTCTGAGGAACAGAATATAAGAGAAGCGTCCTGAAATTTCAGCTGGAGGAGCCCTCGCAAAACCGCCTTTCTTTCTGAATAAAGCTGTTCTAAATGACACCCTCTCCCCCCATTACCTTCCTGTTATCCTGGTCCAAACTTCCATCCTCCCCATCCGATCGCCTGGCAGCTAGAAGGGAAAAATAAATTTGTAACGGCAACACACCATTTATTTTGGGTTTCCGAGTCACGGTTTCCCACTTCACAGTTATGACCGAAAATGAAAAACAGCAGCGGAAAAGGTCGGCAGTGCGAGTTCCCTTCAAGGGCCGGGACGGCTGGCTGGGGAAGGCTGCGGGGGTGGGTGTGCTCTTGAGTGTGCGCCGCGCTGAGAATCAGCAGCGGGTGTGTGAAGCGACAGCCGCACAGAGAAGTAGAGTCACACTTTTAGATACAGCCACTTGGCTTTCTGAAGAACAGATTCCAAAAACCTTCCAAGTTGAACTTTGAAGCAGCAGAAGGCCTCAGCCACGGAGACCCTGTGTGCTGGATGTGGGCCAGAGCCCTGTGACTGTCACTGCCTACCCCGCCCGCCGCCGCAGGAAGGGGCTTGCCAGCACTCCACAGACCGGGAGACTGAGGCTCAGGGACATGGTGTGCCTCACCCAAGGCCATGGGCTACAGGGTGGCAGAGGCTGATGAGACCCAGGTGTCTGAGTCCAACGTCTGTCCTGTCTGCCTCATCTCACTACTTGCTGCTCACAAAACACAACGTGGTGACGGCGCTCTGCCCCTGGAAAAAGTCCACAGGGAACAGCAAGGATATCACAAAATACAGCCGGAAATGAACGCCTCGCAATAGAGCAGCAAAAGTTCATTCTGCAACAGTTCCTTCACCAAGAGCAAGATCTGGAGCTGAGCAGTGCAGTGTCTGTAGGCTCCATTTCCCTTCCTGGGGGTTGGCGCCCAGCCGGGCTGATGTTATTTCTAACCAAGAACAACCAAATACATCACACTTCTCGGCATCTAAGCTAGTATGTATAGACCCACTTGGTGTATCCCGCACTGAAACACTGACCCCATGCACGGAACAGTTAAATGAAAACCCCTCTCCTTCCCCAGCCTGCCACGAAGATGAGGCCTCAGTAAGGATACGCCGAGGGTGGGCTTCTTACCTGCAGCCTGAGGCGGGCTTGGGCCTGGCAGTCCTTTGGAGCAGCCTGCCTCCTGCACCACCAAGGACAAGACTGATACCAGGCCAGAGAGCTTGGAAATTTGGGATTGGGCTACAGGACCTTGACAAGATAAGGCCAAAACGGAAGACTGAGTAGTTCTGTTCCGAATACACTGACATCTCGCCACTCTCAACGGCTGTTGCTCCCTCTTCCAGGAGACACAGCGATTTTCAATGTGAAGATAAGAACCCGGCTCTCTCCACTCGCAGAGGCAAGTTAGTGCTGAGCCTGCTCGAGGAGGAGCGTGTGATGAAGACGTGAGGGCAGGGATCCGCAGGCAGACGCATGTCCATCACTGTGGGCTCTCCTGTTGCCCAGACAACGGCTGTCGCCGGGCAGCGAAGCCCTGAGTGCGTGGCCATACGTCAGCCAGGACTCTTGGCGGCCACCCAGCAAGCCCCGGGGGCTACTTGGACCTCCAAGAGCACAGCCACCCTCCACACCAGAGAAGGCCCCAAAGCCAAGTCTGCTGGCAAAAATAAGTCAACCACATTCCTGAAAAGCCAGGCGGCCAGAGGCAGGTCACCACACTTGGAATAATCTGCAAGTGCAAATACAGTTAAGTGGCTCCCCTCAAAGAGCTCTCTGGGCCATGAAATCCCAGTCCCTGGAGCTCAGGACCAGCTGTGGAGGACAGGCTGGGCAGACACATTCTAGCTGTTCGAGCAATCAGGGCTCAAACAGCCCTGCCCTCTGATGAGGGGGTATTCTGCTAAGATCAAGCAAGTTTCCTCTGCAAACACTGCCAGCTCCACCAGCTGGGCATTGTTTAACTAGACTCAAACAGAGGGCTTTTTAGAACCAAAGTTTACTAGTCCACAAAACATACAATAAATTCTCTTGAGAACTAGGAGCTTGGGAAGGAAAATACAGGACACTAGCACTTTGTATTATTGGTGGCATGCTTCCTTAATAGCTCTGAGCCTCAGTTTCCTGATCTGTAAAATGGGCATGTGATGCCTACCCCTCCAAGACGCAAGGATCACAGGAAATAACTTATATGAATGTTGGAACATAAGGGAGAACTCAGCTTGCAGGTTTGAAAGATCAGAAATGAACATGAGGCTAATTTTATGGCTCATTTTGAGCTTGCTATTTTAGAGTGTCAGGAAAAGACAGATCAATTTGGGCCAATCAGAGGAGAGTTAGTGTGCCTCTCCTATCACACCGCAGTTCCTTTTGAGCCCTGGAATGCACCTTCCAGGAGGAGCCCACCGGCAAAGACTGACTGACTACTTCCTGGATCCCTGGGGAATCTGGGTGAGTGGCATCCCAATGAAAGTGAGATTTTCTTTCTGGATACAGAACCGGCCTGCCAGTCCTCTTCCCATACCCCCCTTACACCTCATCTATATCTGACACCCATGCAGGCAAGCACCCTTCCAGCTACTCATTCATTCATTTCCATACACTCATTCATCCACCTTTTACTCACCTGTCCACCCACCCTCCACCCACCCACAGATCCACCCACCCTCTACCATGTAGCTACCACCACCTCATCTCGATTCCAGCCGTCGACTTACTCGCTCGCCCACGCAGCCATCCAGCCCTTGGTCCACTCCAGTCCACTCATCCGTGCAGCCTTTCTCTCTATCTTCCCTCCAGCTGCTGTTTGCCACTGTGTGGCCCTCACTGTGCTGAATGCCTCGTGTGCACCTGCACTGTCTTACGTATGGGGGATGCAGAAAAAAATCAAACACGACCCTTGTCTTTCAGAAGCTCGCCGGCCAGGGAGGTGGAGGCAGCAGGTGTATTAGAAGGTTTCTCTACGTAACAAGTGCTCTGATGGGGTGAGCAAAGTCCACACAGAGGCACTTCCTCAAAAATATACACGTGATAAGCTCTTACTGAATACCTACTCATTGGGCAGGCCCTGTATGTGGTCTGGATAAACATCTGTTAAGTGTGTTAATAGATAATAATAGATGTTATGAACTTGAGGTGCAGAGGCTAAGGTCACACATGTAATTTGAACCTGTCTGACCCTGAAGGCTGAACTGTAACCGTGCTGTTCTCCCTATCAGATCTGTGCATTGTGAGACTTAGGGCTGCGTCACCACTGACTGTGCTTACTGCGACTTGTCACAAAGCTGCCTCTCCACTGCGCAGCTGACTGTAGAAGCTTCAAGGGCAAAGGCTGCATCTGGCTGCCTCTGCACTCCCTTCGGTGCCTGCAGCAGGCATGCAGAGGAGGTGAGTGGCAGGGACAGAGCCACTTGGAAGGAATGCCCCCTTTGCCGCATCAGCACAACAGCCACTCTAACCGCCAGGGGTCTTGTGCTGGGGTCCAGATGGCCAGCAGAGCTGTGGGGGCTGTTCCACCTCTGTTCTAGGGGTGCCAGCCACAGCTCTGCAGCCACCAGGTGGTCTCAGCTGTGGTCCCTGCTGGAGTCCTGCCCGCAGCGCAGAATAGCCACTGCTAATGTCCGTAAGACCCGCGCAAGTCCAGGGCTCTGGCAGCCAGGGCAGGGCAGGCAGGTGCTGCCTCCAGCAAGGGAAGGTGCTCAGGGGCTTCACTTCTTAGGCCAAGGGGAGCCTTCCCCTCCTCTCCCAGGAACCTGCAGGGCTCTACAGGAGGCTGTGGGGACGTGTCTCCTCCTCTGTCCTCCAGACGTGGCTACTAAGAAGTAGAGCCATCAGCATGATTTTTCCTGCTCTTCCCAGAATGACACCCATCTCTATAATTCAAATTGAATTGGAATTAGACTGAGAGAGAGAATGTGTGTGTGTGTGTGTGTACGTGTGTGCGTGTGTGCGTGTGGGTAGTGTCCAGAGCACTGGAAACCTTGCTTAGTCTCTCACCAACTGTCTGGCATGGGGAAGTCCACAGAATCTCAGCTCCATGGGGTCAGGGGCCATGTATGGTCACCCATGTATCCCTGGCACTGGGACAGAACCTAGCACACAGTGGGTGTCTGAAAAATATTCCCTGGATCAATTAATGAAAGCCACTTAAATCCCTCCAAGCTTGGCTTTCTCATCTGTTCCGTTGGGATAACAGCATCTGCTCAGCGGGGGTGTGAGGACTGAAAATGACACCGGGGAGGAAGGGGAAGCAGGGCCCGGTGTGTCAGCTCCCAGGCAATGCCTGTGCCTCCCTCGGTTCCACCCTTCTGTCACCAACTCTCTCTCTCTGCATCCTCCACACCAGAAAAAGGGAGTCTTGTGTGTCTCTCACATCACATGGGCCGTTCCTTCTAAGCCAGGAATGTGTCTGCCAGGAGGAACCCTCTCGGGAAAGGTGACTTCCCACCCTGAGCCTTGGGGAGCACCACTGGAGGCTCCCGGGAGGGTAGGGTGTCTCTGATCTTGCTCTGGGTACACAGCCTGTCTGCCTTTTCCTTCCATCCCAGCAGCCCCCAGACCAAAATGAGACTCCACCATTTAGGATCAAAAAGGACCCCAAACCAAATAAGACCCAACCCTACTAGAAGGGAATCCCAGAGACACACAGGAAGAGACTGATTCCCGTTTTAAACCAGGGACCAGGCCGGGCACGGTGGCTCACGCCTGTAATCCTAGAACTCTGGGAGGCCGAGCCGGGCGGATTGACCGAGGTCAGGAGTTCAAAACCAGCCTGAGCAAGAGCAAGACCTCGTCTCTACTATAAATAGAAGGAAATTAATTGGCCAACTAATATATATAGAAAAATTAGCCGGGCATGGTGGTACATGCCTGTAGTCCCAGCTAATTGGGAAGCTGAGATAGGAGGATTGCTTGAGCCCAGGAGTTTGAGGTTGCTGTGAGCTAGGCTGACGCCACGGCACTCACTCTAGCCTGGGCAACACAGTGAGACTGTCTCAAAAAAAAAAAGTAAACCAGGGACCAAAGCAGCAGGCGATAATGCATGCCCCTTGGTGTCACTTCTCCTGTCTTGTTGAGGGCAGCCGGTAGGAGTGACACTCCACTGCTTGGAGTGGCTGGAGGTGTGTGGGTGCTGAGGCGAGCCGTCTCCCTCCTGCCTCCCAGGAGCCAAAGCTCTGTCCTCATATTGCCACCTGACGGCTCACATTTGCTTAGAAATGAAACAACAGATTTTGTGAAATATTAGTACAGTCCCTGCATCTGTACAGTCAGACTTCCTTGGGAGTTTTGAGGGAGGCCTTATTTTGTTCTCACAAATTCATTTTAAACATTGGGCACCACTGTGAGGCTGTCCCGTGAGGGGTCTACTTCCAGGAAGCCCCGCGAGCAGGAGACGACCCTGAGAGGGGAAGCTCCGGGCTGTGGCTGGAGTGGAGGGCTGTGCTCTGCGCTGTCTGCCTCCCGTGAAAGCTGCAGGCCCCAGGATGACACCGAATTTTGTCAGAGCCGAGGACAGCAGGAAGGGGAAGAGCTCCTGCCGCACCTCTGAGATAAAGACGGTCTCCAGGGCTTTCTCAAATAATCCCAGAAGAGATTCCTTTGTTAGCACCTCCGCGGTTCAGACAAAATGCTCTCGAAAGAACACGGCCCAGTAACGGTGTCTCCACCAGTGACCTGACACCAGCTCCGGCTTTGCGCCCCCAGGGCCAGAGAACTCTGTTCCCAGGCAGCTCACATGAACTTCTTTGTGCCAACGAAAGCTTCCCTTCACTCTCCCTGCTTGGGCACACCTGCGGCTTGCCATGGCTGTGCATTTCCGGCTATAACCCTCTTTTCTAATTCTTGAATAAATTGAATACGTTTGGGGATATTTTTCTCTGATTTTTTTAGGTTGACACTCCTAAACGTAACCTGTTTTAATACTGCGAGTGACTCTAGATGGTACATGAAAACACAAGATATAAACACACCTGCCTCTGACCTGCTGACCTTCCTGAATTTGGTCCCCGTCACTTGTCCTGCTGTGTCTGCTCTTGACTATCTAGGGAGATGCACTACCCTTGACTTTTCTTGTTTTCCTCCTTTCTTTTCATTTCCTGTTCATTTCTTTTGTTTTCTCTCTCTTTTTAAAAAGCCAATAAATAATAACCAAGTAGAATTGAACTAATGTAGTACAAGAAAATACTCCCAGGCCCTACATGCTGTAACATGACACCAGCAGGGTCAGGGGTCAGGGGTCAGGGACCACCAGGCAGACCTGGTGTGAATGCCAGCTTGGCCATTGACCAGTCACATCCCGCCCTGGGTGCAGCTTCCTCATCTGCGATAACAACAGATGGTGACAAGGTGAGACAAGCTGTTCTCTATCGTCCTGTGCGTGGTGGCCACACCAACACCAACCGTCCTATCCTCTCTCTGCACCGAGGGTCGCCCCCTGGCCCTGCAGGCCTGCCCACCCTCACAGCTGGTGGCCCTGATCTCAGAAGCAGGAATGGGCCTCGTATTCAGAAAAGACCAATGCTAATTTTAAAAAACTTTCAATAAGTTTGAAATATAGAGTGAAAAAGTAAATAGGTTAATTAAAAGGGTTTTTTTTTTAACTTGTTGAATATATTATCGTGAACTAATTAAACAGTCCAGTAATCCAGTATCATTACCCAGAATTTGTTTCAGGAAAGTTGGGGATTTAAAACAAGGGTTGCTGGGGCCTGAGCTGTGTCCCTCTCTCCTCTCAGAGATGACTGGACGGTCAGCTTGCCTAGATGGGGCTGGGGGCCACGTGTGGGCCTTAAACACACCTACGCACACATGCACGCTCATGCACACAGCTGTGCACACGGGCACACACCTTCCACAGGATATATCTACTTGGATGTACATGTTGTGCAGCGAACATGCCCTAACACACCGTCTGTACTCTGAGGGCTGTCTAAGGAGAGCTGGTTAAGGAACGAGCACACCCCACGCCCACAACTCAACTTACGTACAGTTACACACAATTCACACAGCCCTTTGCGTCCAGGGACAGATTTTACTCATGTTTGTCCCCAGTTATGTGGCCAAATGCTCGGCAGGGAGTAGGTGCACTACAAAATCTATCTCATAAAAGACTCTATATAACAAAATTCTGGAATGAAAAAAGGTTTTGGTAATTTCTCAGGGTTTGGTAAAATAGGAATTAACTTGCCTCTGGGTAGGAGAGTCATTCATATACACATTTTTAAAAAACACAAAGATCATCACTGGCAATAGTAACGTCTCTGCCAGATGATTCAGTTAAAGCACTTGATGCTGAAGCTCTTTCTCTTAGATCTGGCTCTGTCAGACACTCACAGGGATTCTGTGACCTGGTTTATCGTCCACCCCCCTCCTGAGGGGCCGCCCCTCCCGCACTGCCTGTGGGGTCTGAGGCAGAGTGGTTGTTAATAAAGGAGCCGACACAGCCTTTCACGAGCACAGAACATACTGCGCTCCGAGCTGTGTAGCGGGGAACCGTGATGGACAGTCTGGACTCAGTTTCCTCACTTGTCACCCAGCGGAGCTGGTGAGGGCAATCTCCAGGGCCCTAGAGTCTGGCTGCCCTATCCCACTCTGGTCCTTCCTGGAGATTCTTGTTGAAGGTAATGGTAAAAGCCATCATCTTCTGGGAACCCACGAGGTTTAATTCATTTTTTTCCTTCTCAGGAAGAGGAAAGCATGCACCAAGTGCAGGGCCTACTGCCATTATGGAAAACATTTTTAAAAAGTTATTTGCATAACTAGACCACTGCGCTGTCAGGAAGTCACAGAAATCCCAGTTTTTATAAGATTTCACCTAAAAGTGTCCTCCAATTGTCAATGCGGGACGTGGCTATTTTCACTGGCTGCATCTGGACAAGAACATTCCATATGGAAATCCCTCCTCCCATCTCTAGCAACTTGATTACAGTCCCTACCACATGCACAGCACTTTACAGTTTAGGCCGTGTTTCCACATTCCTTACTCCATGAAGCCCTCGCAACCAGCCTGAGGAGAGGGCAGGGCAGAGGGCCCTGTTTTGCAGACAAGGAAACAGAGGCTCAGGATAGGGAAGCAGCGTGCCCTCAACCACCCAGAAATCTCACGAGGAGACACAGAGGGAGGCTTTGAGCCTTGGATTCCTGCTCCATGGCCTGAACAATCTGCTCCCTGCACACCTGTCCCAGGTAGGGTCACGTGGAGCAGAGGTGGGTCAGAGGGCTGAGAGATGCCCTCACTGTGAAACACCTCCAACCTCTATTTGCTTATTCGAGAAATGTCTTTAACAAAGGCAAGGCCATTCATTCTACCATCAGAATTCCCCCAACACAGGACCTATCATAAATTCTCCCTGAGGGGTGAACGACTGACTCTAGTTTGTTGTTTTCCATAGATCAGGCCTGGGTCAGGTCATGGTCTGAGAAGTGCCCCCCTCTTACTTTCTTGGCTAAAGTCACTCTGCCTCCCCCAAAGCAGAACCCCTGAAGGCACCACAGCAGGCTCGGCCCGGCCGTCTGACGGCCAGTGGAGTTGCCTCAGGTTTGTCACACACAGAAGTGTCCTCACTCGGACACTCCCTTCATTGCAATTATGAATAGAGGCTTCTCGGGAGGACACCAGCGAATCTGCGTTTACTGTCCAGACGGCCGCCAGCCTGGGTGGTGCCTTCCCCAGTTAAACCCAGTTAACACAGCCAGGGGTGCGTTCACACAGGCATGCAGGCAAACCAGGTGGTGGGAGGGTCCGACTGTACCATGCTGTTTGTAGATGGGGGGTTTCCTATAGATGTTATCTTTTACACCAGTGTCTGGGAAAGAAGAAGAAAGAAAAAGGAGAGAACAGGAGGGTAAGCAAGCAGACTGTGGTGGTTTTCATTCTTCTGCTTTGTCAGCAACAAGCACTCACCCAGCTTTAGAATCACCAGGATGAACGTGCCACCCAGCAAGTGACAGACACCCAGGCCCCAGACCAAGCCTCCCCACTCCAGAGGCCACCCCCATCTGAAGGGGCTGGGGAGAGAGGCAGCCAGTCGGCACAGCAGGCAGGCCCCGCCGGCCCCTGGGAGCTGCAGCTGCCCAGATGGTCCCTCTACTCCACCCGATTCCCGGGGGACAAATGTGTCTGCCTGGCACTTGTGGGGCTTTGGGAGAAACTCAATCCCACATCAGTTTGGGGATGTGCAAAACCATCTGGTGACCTTTAAAGACTTTCAGGGCTTGGGGCAGCAGTGGAGAGGCTTGACGAATCACATGGGACCTGCGGAGTCCAGGCCAGTCCTCGGACAACTCTGGTACAGCCAGACCTCCGCGTGATGGGCCAGCGGGCATGTAGGGGCCTACCTGGGACATGGAAGTGGCGAGGCGCCTGCTGGTAGGTGGAGGAAGGAGGCTTGCTGTCTGACAGCACGGAGAGGCTGGGGGTGCTCCGGCCACTTTCACTGCCTCCAGACGGAAGAGCAAAGACAGCAAACCAGGGGGAAACGGAAAAGCAGAGTAGAGCATTTCAAGCATGACAGCCCATTGGCACGAGCCCACCTCTCCTGCCCAGTGCAGTGGCCCACGCTCTCTGCCAGGGGAGGGAGCATGGCCCACCGACATTTCCAGACTGGGCCCAACAGCTTGCTAATCCAACCTTGAGATCAGCTCCAGTGAATGCCCCAGGCAGAGGAGCAAGAACACTCAGGGCCAAGAGCTGCTGTTCTTGGTTCACAGGGGTGGGGCTGGGCCGCCAGTCAGAGCCAGGGGCCTTGGGCGCACAACCTGTCCTGGCTGCTTTCTGCCCTGGCGGGTGCTTGAATCCAGCAAATTGCAAATCACCAAAACTCCAGCCACCCTTCCTAATTACTCTCATATAAAATGATGCTGCTTTCCTTCAGAATCCACAAATTAGTCACTTAGAATAAATTAAATGCTAAAATGAATCGAAATCATCTTTAAAAGCCACTGATCAAAATTTTACCAGCTACAGGAGAAAAAGAAAAGAACAGCATCCATCGGTTGCCAAGTTCCTAAACTAAACTATTTTGTGGCAAATTAAATGAAAAGTATCCTCTGAGCCTCTGACCCTGGCTCCAATTTCTTACCTCAATTGCAATTGCTGTTTTTCCAAACAAGGTTGGATTATCAAGCCACAAATCTAAAGAGCCTAGTTACCTGGACGAATCCCCCCACCTGTTTAAGGAACGACACGATAGACAGACGCATGGGTGTGGAACGTGATGATGAGGTTCACGCTCATTCTGGCAAGACACTCTAAGTCACTGTCCCTCTCTCCTGGCCTTGGGGACCCTTCATGGCACCAGGTGACAGGGTGGCAAGGGGAAGGGTATGCTCGACTTGAGAACTTTGCCTTCATGCTGTAGACTTTCAAAACAGCAGGGCCCGAAAGTGACATCCTTAAGAATCAGAGCTTCCCAGCAGGTGAGCGCCACGCCAGGCCAGGGAGAGGACCAGCCAGGGACTGCCTGGTGGGCAAACGAGGAAGGCCCCACAGATGCCGGCCCAGAGGGGCTCTTGCCTGGGTGGGTGGGCTGGATGCAGCAGGAGGGTGCCCAGGGCAGGGCGGGTTCAGCTTGAGCGGACCCCAATCGGTGGCCTGCACAGGGCTGAGGCCACAAAGGGGACTACTGCCTCCAACTTTGGCCGCTTTCTCATGTCTGGGCGTGGGTGCTAATTTCACCTGTCAATGCTGAAGGAACCTCAGATAACTGCTCTTCCCTTAGCTACCTCCCTCCAGAACAGCACAGAGCCTCCCGGAGCTCCACTTGACTCTTCTGGCTCCTGCACCCCCCGGTGGCAGCGGTGCCTCGCACCAGGCAGACCAGGCCCACATGCAAGGACAGGAGCCCACAGATGCTTTCTGCCGCCCACAGCTGTGACAAGATCCACCCACAGGGGCAGCAAGATGGGACAGAAGAGGGCCTTTAACAAATGCATCCGGACAAACTCTAGGATCACCTACGCGCCGTCACACCAGGCTGAGCTGCTCTCATCTGAGGAACGAGGAACCTAGGAGGCCTCGAATGCTGCGTTTCTTTCTATCTAGGATCACGGCCTCTTCTCTGCCTCGGCTCACGCCCAGTTGGCCAAGGATTCTGATGTGCTGCTGCATTCCTGTGCCTCCCCAGTTCCCAGCCCACAGTGCGATGTCCCCTGAATTTACAATTCTGTGCACACCTGTGCATGTTTACCTGAGGAGGGTCCACTACTTCCAGCAGATGCTCGGAGGGGTGAGACCAAGGGGCAGCCAGGACACAGCCATGGTGGCCTGCCTCACTCCTGCCACCTGGGCCCTCTAACCCTGCCCCCGAGTTCTGCCACCTCGGCCTCCACCTGACATACCATTGCCATGACCCCTGCTCCACGGCCACTCCCGGAACGCCTTGACTGAGGCTTCCCACTGTCCAGACCCTTCCTGGGTCCAGGCTCAGGCTCTGCCTCTTCCATGCAGCCTTCGGGAAGGACACAGCCCACCACGGACCCCTCCTTTCTCTGCACACGCTGTTGGCTCCCCATGTGGCTTCATCGGAACAAAACACATCACTAGCTGTGACCCCGCCCTCCAGTGCCACTTGGATGGCTTTGCCCGAGTTGTCTTGTGGCATGGCTGTGACAGCTCTGTGGAGTGGGCACCAATTTGCCTGCCTTCTGTGGAGGGCACAGGGCTGCCAGGTACAGGGCCAGTGTCCCATGAGACCAGCCTGGTCACTGCTCACAGCCCAGCTTCCTCCTTGGGCCTCGGTGAAAACTCCAGGCCACTGCTGTCTCCATGAATGGGAAGACTGCGGAGAGCCTGGCTGTGGGTGACACTGGAAAAGCACAGAGGCCCCTTCTGCGGAGGCTCACCTTCTAGGCAGCTCCTGACACCTGTGGGGGGGCTTCCAGCTCCTTAATCCCAGAGAGTGCCCGTGAGAGTTTTTACCCAATGTCCTCTTTCTGTTCCAGGATCCCACCTGGAACACCGCATCACATTGAGTCATTGTGTCGTCATGTCTCCTTAGACTCTCTTGGCTATGACAGTTTCACAGACCTTCCTTGTTTTTGGTGACCTTGACAGTTCTGAGAGGTACTGGTCAAGTATTTTGTGGAATGTCCCTGAACTGGGATTTGACTTTTTCTCATGATGGGCATGGGACTGGGGAGGAGGCCCAGAGCAGAGGGCCATCCTCATCACGTCGTGCCACGGGCAGCTGCTGTCAGTAGGACTTGGCACTGCAGCAGTGCCCTTGCCCAGGCAGTGCCCATTGGGACTCCGCGGTGGGGCTGATCCTCTCTCCTTCCCATACAGTGCTCTCCGGAAGCCAGTCGCCAGGTACAGCCCATGCTTAGCCATACATGTGGCACGGGACTCATGCCCCGGCCCCTTGAGGACAGAGCAGCTACATGAATGATTTGGATTCTGTGGGGGAGATTTGTCTCTTCGCCCCCACTTATTTATTTATTCAACTGTTTTTTTTTCATCAGCGTGCACTGATATTAATGTTACACTTTGGATTATGATCAATATATGTTAGCCATTTTGTTGCTCAAATTGTTTCAGCTCTGGCCCCGGGGGCTCTCTCAGGTGGCTCTTTTGAACCTTCTCAAGGTGACACCAAAGCCAGACCATGCTGCAGCCATGCGCAGTGCCTCGAAAGACGCAAACCAAGACAGGTGCAGGTGTTCACTTGTGCGACACACCGCTACATCCCGCCTGAGCCATCGGCCACGGCCCGCCGTGGAGGCCCAGGCATGAGGGCCCGTCTGGAGCCAAGAGAGTGGACATGGCAAGATGAAGAGGTGCCTATGGGCACACTGGGTGGGTAGGGAGGTGGCCTTGACCTGGGGCTCACACCAAAGCCTCTCCCTCCTCCTTCTTTCGATACGCGGCTCAGAGAAGCCTCACTGGTGAGCAGCAGTGGCTTCCCGGGGCACCCGCACACTTGCCTGTCCCTGCAGCCCACTCCTGGACAGGTGAGAGGTTGTGCTTGAATTGTGCACCACCCCAGGAGCCCGCCCAGGGCTGAAATTCATGCTGAAGTGCAAATGGCTGTGGCCAGCTCCTCTTTGAAAGGTGGGTGTGGTGGGAGGGTGTGTCTGGATGGGTGGTGGGGTGGGCAAAAATGGGAGGAACTGAGGGTCCCTGCCAGCGTCTGTTCAGCTCAGGATGGGCACGCCTCTCCTTGGGGAGCCCTCCCCCCACAGCACTGCCCACAGGGACACATCCACAGACTGCAGCCAAAGGTGCCAAAGGAGCTGTGGGGAGTGAGCAGGAAAGGCTTTCCCAGAGAATAGGTGGGCCCCAGGTTCCATGTCCAGCTGAGAGGAGGGCAGGCAGCCCTGGGTACAGTTGGCCACCAAAGTGCCCACAGGCCAAATGCGCCGAAGCCCATGGGCTGCTAAGAGGACTAGCTGCCTTTGGTGTGGCCTCAGAGGTGGACCCAGGACCCCAGGGTGGACATATAAACAAGGACCCCAGGGTAGGAGCCTCGCTCTGGGCTCTGCCCAAAGGAGCTTTGGGATTTGGGCCAGTGACTTCTCTCTGAGCCTCAGTCTCCTTAGGGGTAAGTTCTAGAAAAAGGCCAGGTGCTCCCAAGGTCATGGACAGCTGTGGGAGTTGCGCAGGGGCAGAGGCAGGGGTGCTGAGCAATCCTGCATCTGACACCAGAGAGGAAGGCAGAGGGTGCCATCTGACTGTTGAATGAAAGGCGCTGGCAGCTGGAGCAGCCAGGCAGGAACCAGGACAGAGACAGGCATCAAAGGTGGCAAAGCCAACATGGGTCTGGTGCCCCATCCCCACACAGGGACAGTGCCTCCTGGCCCTGGCAGATGCCCTTGGATGGGCTCTGTTGACAGCTCTGGAGCCACACTTTGGCGGGTGGGGCCTCTCCGCACTCTCCTCCCCACAGGGGACAGGAGGAAAGGGCTGGGCAGCCTGTCACTCGGGTCCTCCCTGGCCTTTCTCATGCACTGAGGACAGTGCTGCATCCACTGACCGCTGCCCAAGGGAACTGCCCTGGCCTCTGCTCACCCTGCAGTGGCAGGAATTAGAGGGTGGGGACTCAGAAAGGGGAGAAGGAGGAGAGAGTCACAGGTTCTGCGCTGGCTCCAGGCCCGGGTCTGCCCCAGGCCATCTGGGGGGCCAGGGGAGACTGGCTGTGCTCTGGCCGGCCCCAGCCAGGGGCCCCACAGGAACAGTAGGGCCACTGCCTGGGAGGAGCTGTGTGGCCATGTGGCCGGGCCCTTCTGATGCTTGAGCAATGGCAGACGCGGCGTCTCCTTGGGTAACCGGCTCGTGATCCGCCTAAATAGTGACATTCACTACGGGTTCTGAAAGTGTGTGTGCCCTTGCCGTGACTCCTGGGGACCGTGTGGACGTGTGCAGCAAGGCCCCTGCCGCTGCTCGCCTGCTCTCAGATGCCGTTCGGCCTCTGTTCTTCCCAGATGAGTCAGGACATCCCAGCAAGGCCGTGAGCCGTAGGGACAGTCGGCTCGGCGGTGAGGAAGGCGCACCTAGGATGAGGGACTCTCCTCTCAGCAGACCACAGGGCCCACTCAAAGCAAGTGACGACAACGTGCACAGAGAGATGCACAAGTCCTCGTGCCCGTTTGGTGATTTCCAAGTGGTGGGAGAAGCCGACGGTGTTTGCTGGGCCTTCCTGCTCCCTGCGGGGGGAGGGGATCCAGCGTGTGGCTTGGGGGGTCGGTGTGCACTCACTGCTGCTTCCTCTGCCCCTCGGAGTGTTTGGCTATGGCGCAGCCGTCAGCGAGGGCTATGTGGCTGCGCACCACAGGCGGGCGGTGTGAGCACAGGAGTGGTTTTCCTCACGGTTCCGGGGACTGGGAGGCTCAGGTCAAAGGTCTGGCAGAGTCTCTCGTGAGGTCTCCCTTCCTGGCTTGTGGACGGTCACCGGTCACCGTATCCTCACATAGCCTCTGAGTGTGCCCAGAGAGAGCGCTCTGGGGTCCCTTCCTCTTCTCACAAGGACACCCGCCCGACCAGATAGGGCCCCGCCCTCATGACCTCACTGTCCCTAATCACCTCCTTACGGGCCCTGTCTCCAGACACAGTCACGTGGGGGCCGGGCTTCAACACAGAATCTGGGGACACGGTTCAGCCCACAGCATGTGGGAAACACCAGCTTGGCATTCCCCAGTGGGATTCGTGTGCAGGTGTCCACGCGGTGATGTGGATGCCCGTGGGTAGGTCTGTGTCCTGGGCCCTTGGGGCTGACGCAGGTAGTCAAAGGAGGTGACCTGCATAAAGGCTCCTAGTGCAACACCTAGGGCAGGTGCCCGGCCAAGCCTGGTCCCCTTCTCCCATAGCTTCCCAAGCCCACCCCGCCTCTTGTTCCTGTGACATGTTATCTGTGTTCTCCTCCCAGACACATGTACACACCGACACACAGAGCCCAACGCACAGGACACACACAGCAGGGGCACAGGGCGTGGGACAGAGGGCTCCAGGGAAGCCATGCAGGACGCGGGGCAGCGAGCACACAGACACCGGCGCGGACGCCCTCCGCACCACAGCCACGGCACTGTGCGCCTTACCTCGGAAGTAGGGGATGTAATGATGTCTGAACACGGATGTAGGGCTTGGGTGTTGGGACAGGGAGAGGCAGCTACTGGTACCAACACTCACAGTACCAGCTACGGGGCAACAGAGAGCGTCAGTCAGCCTGGGCTGTGGCTGCAAAGCCAGCAGCCCAGACCCCGCTGCTCCAGGAGCACCGCTGATTCCTCTCTCGAGGAATGCACACCTTTTTGAGGCACCTGAGGGGCCACCAAACATGCTTCAGGCCACTTTCCCCCAGGTGCGCAGCAGGGAAACCCACCCTCTGGAAGACAAAGTGGTGGCCCTGAGGGCTGCCGGGCAGGCGCCTCTGCCAGGGCTCTCGGGGGAGGACGGTGCCCTGAGCCAGGCCTGTCGCGCCATGCGGGGGTCTCCCTGGATCGAGGCACCGGGGGAGAGCAGCTGGCCAGGGGCCAGGGAGTGGCCCGCCACCAGATGGCCTCACTGGCCTTGCCTGGCGAGACGCACCTCCTGACTCTCTGGCGTAGCCCAGGCCAAGCATGTTGGCTGGCAAGCCACAGCAGCCGGGACCACGGACCAGGTGGGCAGCCAGGGGTCCCCAGGACTCACCTGCTCAGCTGCTCACTCGAGCTCTCACGCACTCACCTACTAACGCATTCATATATCCATTCACTTACTCATTCACTCACTCATTCACTCTCACTCTCTCATTCATATATTCATTTGTTTACTCATTCACTCACTCTCACTCATTCACTCATTCATTTGCTCACTCACTCTCACTTGTTCATTTACTCTCACTCATTCACTTACTCATTCACTCAATCACTCTCATTCACTCATTCACTCACACTCTCACTCATTCACTCACATTCACTCACTCCTCATTTCCTCACTTAATAACTCATTCATGCTCTTATTAGCTCACTTGATCACTCATTGGTTGACTCACTCATTCGCTCACCCACTTTCTCAACATTTATTGAGAAAATGTACCAGGCACATTGCAAAGAGTCAATGAAAATAACTTTGCAAATGAATGAGTTGTGATTTTTCCACAAAGTCTGCAAAAATAAGTGCTGTAGTTCATGGATGTGAAAATGGGGCCATGCAGCAGCTGGCCGAGCGGCTTGTAAAAATCCTTCAAAAAGGCAGCATCTGCGGGGAGCACCCCTTGCATGGTTTGGACACACTTAGGGGGGTGGAGGAGTTTTACAGCTACAGGGGAGCAAGACACAGCCGGCACCAGGCAGGGAATGAGATGAAACTGGAGGGGGCCCTCCCGGGGACCCTCTTTGCTAGCAGGGGCCTGGTGGTGGCCTCTCGCCAACTTGCCCACGAGATGGCTGTTGCTGGGGTGACGGGCACAACAGCAGGTGGGGGTGAACGGATACTCTCCCCCCACTTTTCAGCCACTGATGTTACCTGCATAGCTCAAGTCTTCACAGACCCACAAGGGCTCGGACCTGGCTGACATCTAGTGCCGTTTTTATCTTCCTTACATCTCTCGCTACTGAAACACTGGCTGGATTCTCTGCTCAGGTTATGTGTCACAGGACAATTTCCCCAGCCAAGGCAACAGCTGCCTGTGGCCAACCCCACCCAGGTGTGAGGAAGTCCTTTTCTTTACGTGGCTAAATTGACCTGTTCTCAGCCGCCCCCCACTGGCAATCCCACCCCTTCCATCATGTTTTCAGTTGCACAAGAAAGAGGCCACTTTGTAACAGGAAAACCAAAGAGAAGTGCAGCTCTACTGGGGGGATGAAGTGCCCACAGGGCCAAGTACCTGGACGGCTGTAGTGCTGGGGCGAGCGTGAGGTCGGCGTGTAGCGCCCGAGGCTGACCGAGCCAGTGGAGCTGGGGCTGGAGGTCCGGCACTGCTTGTAGGAGCGGTCGTCCTGGTCCCCCTGGGAGGGAAAACACAGCTGTGGGCACCGGAGCCAAGAGCGCTGCCCGCCCCATCCCCACCCCTGCCTCCAGCTCGAGTCTGCCCACCGGACCCAGTGGCTAAATCCCTGGTACTTGGAGGGCACCCCTGGGGAGAGCCCTCTGCCACACCCCTTCCCCTGCAGGCCAGGCTTCCTCAGAGGGGGTCAGAGCACCTGGGCCCACCCACTCCCCCAGTCCCCGCCTACCCAACCCTTCCCAGCACCCAGCGATCCTTGGAGCATAGCGTGAGGACCACTGGGACTTCCCCAGGCCTGCTGGGGTCCTTCATGCATAAGCCAGGGACTCTAAGGGTGCTGGAGGCACGTTGGAGGTGGGGACGTGCCCCTCCTGGGCTGGGAAGCCCTGTTGAGTCAGACCCACAGGCACTAACAAGGCAGAGCTCATCGGAGCAGGAGTGGGCAGCTGTTTGGAGCGGTCAGAGTGGGCAGCGTGGCGTGGTGTGAGATGGGATGGCACCACGGCACAGCAGAGCAGGCTGCCCTGTTGCCACAGTGTGGCATGCTGGCTTTAGTCGTGACACAGCTGTGGGGTGGACGCTGTTTTGCCAGCGCTGTGATGAGCAACTGGGCTCCTGGTCTGGCCCCCCAGCTCCCAGGCTGGCAGAGCTTACCTCCCAGCCCTCAGGGCTCGCTGTCTCTGAAGCTTGCCTTGTGTACCCCATCCATGCTTTCTCAGGACAGCCCTCAAGCCAAATTCCTACCTGTGCCTGGCTCTGAGCCCCTAGGGCTGGCACACCCTACAGCCATGGGCATGCTCTCTCGGGTAGCTAGGCCCTGCTATCTTTCTCCTCTCCACCCTGGCATCCTCCGCACAGCCCTGGTGGCCACTGGCCCCAGACACATGTCCTGGCTCCTCGCTCAGCCTGTACTTGGGGTGCACTGGCTCTATGCAGGATGAGCAGTGTGAACAAGCCAACCACCTGCACGTCTGGTTGTCACATTCCTGCGTCCGAGGATTTGGTGCCCAGCTGCTGCAGGCTCTCTAGGTGGGGCAGGCTCTCCCCACAGAATAGCGCCATCAGGGCTAACATGTGCCTGTTCCTCCCCAGTCCCCTGGCACCGTGTCTGTGGTGACAGCCTGGGGAGTCAAGCAGAGAGACCAGGGCTCTGCAGAAGATTCTGGCTCTCCCAGGCCATAAGGAGTGAGGGGACGGCCTCGGCCTGGGAGGACAAGCAGGTAAGTTCTCCCAGGACCACACCTGAGGGCTGGTTGGGAAACCTGGCTAAGGTCCTGGTGAGGGTGGCCAAAGTCCCAGGGCCACAGTGACCACCTGTGGACTGGAAGCCTGCAGGCTGTGCATGGCCATGCAGCTTCCCACTGACCAACCGCGTGCACTTGTGTGTCCAGCTTGGGGTCATGGCCCAAGAGATGGAGCTTTGCAACGAGACCAGGCTCCTCTTTAGAGTGGGCTCTGCCTTGAGCAGACCCTTCGCCTCATCTGGAAGGATCTGGAAGTGGAGCCCCCATCACTCCCTCGTGCAGGTACAGAGGTGATACAAGAATGCCTGGCCCCAGGCCCAGCACGTCAAAGGTTACTCATGCCTAGGAATCACTATGTTCATAATTTAACGAGCAGCCATGACAACCACGGCCAGGGCACAGCTCCACTGGCGTGGGCGGCTGGGATGGGAGGCCAGGGAGCCCAGTGGGGTGGGGCTGGGCTGGGATCCTCCTCCACCTCAGGGCTCCTGACCCTGGAAACGTTATTTGACTTCCCTGTGTCTTGATTTCTCTACTGGTAAACTGGGAAATATCATAGAACTTACTTTGGGGGGCTGGGGTGGGCTAAGGAGGTTAGTATGCACCAAATGCTCACAACAGCGCTGAGCACGGAGACAGCACTCGCGTGTGGCTGTGTCACAGGTTTGCATTCCTGGCTACGGTGACATCCCTGCACAGAGACAGCCAGTGCCCAGAGCTGCAGCAGACTGGAGTCTGATTGGCAGTTGTCTGTGTCATGATTGATTTTGAGAAACAGGAAGGAGGACCTGGACTGCTAGTATTATAATAAAGGCTATCCAACGGAGAAATGCAGTCTGAGAGTCCACCATCCAGGGCCTGGCCGCTTCCCACACGGGCCCCTGGGAAGAGCGTGACATACTGTCCGGCTCACCCAGCTCCTGACTGTTCCTCTAAGGGAAGCCGTGACCCAGAACAACATCTACTCCAGCGGGACCTGTGCCCCAGGCATGCACATTTGCGGGGCTGGCAGACACACAAGGGCAGCATGCAGAGGAGACATGATTATAAAAATAACCAGCACCCAGGAGGGCGCCCTGAGCCACAGGGGCTGTCAGGAGCCGCGGGGCCCCTCCTGGGTGCACTAGGCGGTTATCTTTACAACCAGCGGCACCACGAGCAGGCAGGGGAGGCAGAGGGTGACGGTTACCTCAGTCGGCGTTGGTGAGAGCAACTGAGGTGACTGTGGACACAACACACAAAGTGGCCTGTTAGTGCTGTGGCATCAGGCAGTGACTTTGGGGGAGAAGGGAGAGTTTAGTGGCTGCAGGCAACGCAGGGTGCAAGTGCTCATACGGCGAGGCCTGCCTGCCAAATGGGACAGGACCCTGCCACAAGAGACACAGGACGGGCCTCTAAAACCTTTCTGCAGAAATATGGGCAACAGCACCCAGCAAAGAGGTCCCTGGAAACTCAGGTCGTGCCGCTGAGCTTTTCCCTGCCCTGGCCCTCCACACCCTGCCACCTGTCACCAAGACACGTGTCCATAGGGAAGACTGTGGCTCAGGGCCAGGGGTGGCACAGCCTGCACGCCATGCCCTGGGCTTTCTCTGGACAAGGGAGGAAGGGGGCCCAGCAGGGAGAGAGGGAAGCGGGGCCGCAGGCTTTGGGGTTCGGCCTGGCCCTGCCTGGGGAGGGTCCCGGGGCCTTGGGGAGTGGGCTGACCACAGCCTGGCGCCTCCCGTCATGGTGGGCGAGCTCTGCCCACCACCCACAGACTGGCCAAGACTGGGAGAGGCAGCCTGGAGGTGGAGGAGTCAGAACCAGAGCGCTGCCCTAACAGGACGGGCAAGGATTAGGGGAGAGAACTGTGCCCCCACGCCGCCAGTAAAAGGCACTCCATCCTCGGGAACGATCGCTATTACAGCGCAGCACGTGACGCCGTCTGGGAGGCTGGGGTGGCCCTGTGCAGCAGCACCCTCCTCGGGTGGGATGGCCTGCGGGAGGTGGCATTGAGGGGAGAAACCCTCCTGGGCTGTCCTCGGGCACTGCTGTAGAGGAACCTCGGAGTGAGCACACCTGACCCAGGACACATGGCACCATCCACCTGCCAAGCCAAGCCCCTCGAGGAGGGCCTTTGTGGCTGAGGCTGGGATCTCACACACAAGGCGCAAATTTGCAGCATGGCAGACAGGCCGATGCAGGGGCCGCAGAGAGGGAGGGGCCTCCTGGGCCACACACACAGTCCTCTCTGCCCCCGGGGACAGGCCCTTGGGTCTGCGTTCTGGTCATGTGCTCATGACATGGAGGGACCCGAGAAAGCAGGACTGAGGTGGGAACAGCCACACCCACACAGCCCCTCCCAGCACGGCTCGCTCGGAACACAGGCGTGCGTCGGGCAGGGTTTGACGTCCCAGTCTGTGGGGAGGCAGACGGCCTCAACCTGCTCTCTGGACTCCAGGCCCTGCCTCAGAGGAAGAGCAAAGACTTGAGGAAACAGCCAGCACATCACGTGGACTTCTAGGGAAGAAAGAACTAGATTTGGGTCTTGCCTCTGCTGCCTACTGGCTCGAGCACCATGGCCCAGTTGCCGGACCTCGCTGGCTCTCTTCCAGGGCCCGGTCTGGGCACAGACCAGATGCTGGGTGATGGAGCCACTCGGCGGGTGGACCTGCACTCTCAGCACTGGGACTTGCCACTGGCACCCACGGCCCACCTGCTGGCCCTGAGCTCTTCCCACCCTCCCGCTCAGGCCTCGGGCTCCGCAGCTGTGCTATAACTCCGTCTGCAGGGCCGGGCTGGGCTCACCCTGCGCCAGCCGCGTTGAGCACGGCACCCCTGCAGTCTCAGCCCTCACTTCCCGAGAGGCCCTTGCTAAAGTCTCGAAATGAGAAGGTCCAAGGGAAACGTGTCTGAAAGGACTGGGTTTCCCTGCCCAGGGGAGCACCTGTGTCCAGGCCACACATGCCAACAGCCTGGCAAAGACGGCTCTCCCTGCCCAGGCAGTCCCAGTTACATGGAAACCTCAAAACCACAAAAAGAAAAGCAAAAACCAACATGAATTCCACATTAAATGGAGAAGAGCAGCTTTGAAGTCACCAAGTAATATAGAATACACAGTCCACAGGAGCGCCAGGGAAAGAGTTTGTGGTCCAAGCAGGTTGGTGAGACCGGCCAGCGGTATCGTGGGCCGAGGCGTGTGCCACCCCAGCAGGGTGGGCGTGTGGCCCAGACTATTCTGGATAAGGGAAAACAGAGCCTTTCATGCTTTGTGAAAATAATCCAATACTTAAGGAAATTAAGAGATTTTCAGTTGCTATCATTTTTCCTTAAAACTAGCGTTCTTCCTACTTTCTGCTCCATTTAACGAGGCTTTCCAGATTCCCTCCTTTAGCGAGGGGAAATTTGGGGCCAGAGCATACTGGGAACGACGTCAGCGGGACGTGCACAGGGTTATCTGCAGGGCATGGAGAAGGCCGAGAGTTGCAGGGGGTGGTGAGGGCAGAAGTAGGCTTTGTCCGAGTGGGACCCACGCCAGGGACAGCCCGCCTGGGGCAGTGCGGGCAGGGCCGTACCTCGCCGCAGCTCTGCCTGTCCCCTGTGGAGTGGCTGATGTAGGGCGAGTAGGAGATCATGTCGGGGCGGTCGATGTCATAGATGGCCTTATTTTTGGGAAGGGCAGCCAAGTCCCTGTAGTCAAGGATCTCCCCACCGAGCTTCGCCTGCGAGAAAGAGCAGAGAAGGCTATGGTCAGACCCACATCCCGCAGGGCAGAGCCCCCAAAGCAGGGCAGGGGCTGGGCGTACCCCAGCTCCTGGGCAAAAGCACAGAGGACTCCAGAGCAGACGGGCCTGGGTCCACGCAGTCTTGAAGAAGCCTCAGTTTCCACTGTATAACGTGGGGGACATGATCCCAGAATAGCTGTGGGGTCACAGAGGTGAAGTGAAGCCTGTGACAGCAGACAGTAAGACTCAGTCCACAGCCTAAACACACATGCATGTACATGCATCATATATGTACACACACGTGCATGCACACACACAGATTCAAACCTCCCTTGGCATTGGTGGGGGATCTGACTTGTCAGATGCCCGGGCCCCTGCAGGAGACGAGGCAGTGTTGGCATAACCTACACATCCTCCCGCATACCTCACACGATCTCTAGAGGACTCACCCAACACCGCGTAACTGCTGAGTGAGTAGTGGTTACACTGAATTGCTTTATTCGCATTTTTTAATTATTGTATTAGTATTTTTTGGTGTTTTTTCCTGAATATTTTCAATCTGAGGTTGGTTGAATCCACGAATCTGTAGATGTGGAACCCATAGATATGGTGGGTGACAGCACACACCTACACACACATGCACACACATACATGTATACAGACACATGTGTGCACTGCTTGCACACACATGTATACTCACGGGGAACATGCCTGTCTCATCCTGTGGAGGCACAGACACACCTCACATCCCCACCTACCCCCACATACTAGCACACACATGTGCACACCCACACTCACACTTCTGCACACAGCCACACACCGACGCGGGTGCTCACACGCCCTTCCGTGCCCACAGCTCCCTCACAGCACATTCCCACACACTGGCGCACACACATGCACACCTAGACTTGCTCCCTCAAACTTACATGTATATTCAGCCACACAAACTGCACACACAATCAACTGGCTGTCACCCAGCGAGCACACTCACACATCCACACTCGCAGGCTCACAGTCACACACGCAGCATCTCTGAGCGCTCGCAGGCTCACACACTCAGCAAAGTGCCCAACATTTGACAGGCTGGGTGGGGTCCGGGACCGCGTCTGTCTTTTCCACCTCTGGCCTGTGCTGGCCCGTAGACGGCATGCAGTTGTGCTTGTGGGCTGTGGCCTTGCAGATCCATTTCCTCCCAGGCCAGTCCTCCGGTGGTTGCCGTGACAACAGGCTATGCTGTCTCATTGGTGGAAGGCCACTGGAGTGCGTGTGTACAAGTGTTTTCTCTCTGCTTCTTCCTTCCCATACTCCACACAGCATAATAAATAATAATATGGCCCTGTATGACATTATCATTACAATATAATCCAGCCATTAATAATATCTAATGTAATAATGCTGCTTTTATACTGTGCTTTATTGCCATGGTGAAAAAAAGGTTACAAACCAGTATGTTCAGTGTGACTTCATGTTGCTAAAAACATCACACATGTGCACGCAGAGGAGAGCGATCCACAGGTGCACTCCACAGCAGAGTGGTGGCCACTCTGCCTGGCAGGATAATAGACGGTATTAATTTTCTCCTTTGTGCTGATCATGATTTTTTAAAAGAAAAATGCAGGCTTCTTATATAATTTTTTAAAAAGTAGCAAAATGGATTATGTCAAAAGCCCACAATCTGTTGAGCTCCTACTGTGTGCAAATTTTACCCCTAATACCAACATGGACGAGGCACAGCCTCTATTCACCAGGAGCACCCTGCAAAGCACTCTGAGGTGGCATGGAGTGGGCCCCTCCTGAGGCTGTGGGTGTGCCCAGCACTGAGCGAGGGGCCAGGTGCACAGTAGGTGCACACCCAGCTGGTGGGGACATTCCTCACCCACCAATACCCTGCCTTGCTCCTCGGCACGCACCCACCTGAAACCTGTGCATGGCACGTGTCCCATCCCTCCTGTGGAGCAGAAGCCTCCCCACCCCAGACAAGGAAGCCCTCTGGCCTGACACAGCTGGGTCCCTGGGCCGAGCCCAGGGCTTGGTGCTTGGTTGAGCTTGCAACCACCTGATGCAAGAAGACAGGACCCGTGCCAGCTGTTTGCAGCACTGAGCGGTAGGGCTGAAACCCACTAGAAGAAAACCAATCTTTGGGGTCACAGAAACCTGGGTTCAAAGCCCTGCTCTGACACTTGCTGTTGTATGGCCTTGAAAGTGAAACCACGACAACAGAGGCTGTCACTCTTCACTGCAGGATTATAGGGTCACTACGGTTCCTAAGCTGCTTGCAAATGCCAATTCATTTAACAAAAAAAGCTCACATTCGATGAGCAGCTACTATGTGCCATGCAGTTGACATCAACAACAAAAAGAACAACAGCTGCCACCTCTTGTGAGCACACCCCGCGCCAGGCCGTGTTCAGTGCTTTGTCAATGCTGGAGCGCAGAAAACGCCCAAATACGGCTTCAGCACGAGTACTCGGAACTCAAGCAGAATGGAGCCTTGGAAGCCCTTGACCCACTCCTGCCCTCCGGTCTCTTGCCCCTCTTCCCCTGAAGGCCTCCTGGAGTGGGCCACAGAAACCCCCAAATCAGCCATAAAACCTAGAAATGTGACTCTAACCTCCCCCACCTTTCCGTGTAGGGCTGGCCGTAAAGAAATTCTCTACCTACCTGTCATAAGACCCGCATTCCAGCGGGGTCCTGCCCTGCACGCAGGAGGAGAGAGGGCCACACAGAGCCAGGAAGCACCTGAGCAGGCGGGCCTTGCTGGGTTCCCCAGTCTGTTCCTGTTGGATCAGACCCTTTTTGTCCAATCCCATTTCTGCACGGCTGCTGTGGAGTGAGGGGAAACTCCCCCTTTCCCCAGAAGGTTTGCTGACAGATGAACTCACAATAAGGCAGATAATTAAGATAAAGAGATATATTTACCTGCTCATGGGAGAATGGAGTGGTTGCCCAGTATTTCTGGGGGTCCAGAAGGTCATATACCTCATTTTAGAGGGGAGGGGATGAGGAATATGAGTAATTCTGTTCAGGGGCAATAAATGGTCACTAGGGAGGATAACTAGGTACTTGGGAGAATGAATGGATGGGGAAACAGACTAACTTATAAATGATTCTCTTGGGAAAGTCAATTAACCTGAGAGACAGGTTATATTCAAAATGACTTGTGCCAGGACTGGTTGCATTCCATTGTTCTTTTTGTTTGTTTGTTTTTTTGTTGTCCAGGCTAGAGTGAGTGCCGTGGCGTCAGCCTAGCTCACAGCAACCTCAAACTCCTGGGCTCGAGCGATCCTTCTGCCTCAGCCTCCCGAGTAGCTGGGACTACAGGCATGCGCCACCATGCCCGGCTAATTTTTTCTATATATATCAGTTGGCCAATTAATTTCTTTCTATTTATAGTAGAGACGGGGTCTCACTCTTGCTCAGGCTGGTTTTGAACTCCTGACCTTGAGCAATCCGCCCGCCTCGGCCTCCCAAGAGCTAGGATTACAGGCGTGAGCCACTACGCCCGGCCCATTGTTCTTTTTTATGGGTCTGGTTTTGTGCAGAGAAAGATGGAAAGCCCCGCCAAGGCCTGTTGATCTCTCGGGGCCTTTAATTAAAAATACTGTCATATTTTGAGGTGAAATTTCCTGAGCTCCTTCCCTGTCCATACCTCATTGAACCTAAGTGTAAAAATGGACAGTTTCCCTAGGCCTTTGGGTCTTTAATTTCTGACACTTCCTGTGTCATATAAAACTTTGATTAAATAAATGTGTTATGTTTTTCTCTTGCTAACCTGTCTTTTTTCATAGGAGTGTTGGCCGTGACCCTTACAATGGGTGAGGAAAGGAATCACACCCTTCCACACCTACACAAACATTATCTCATTTAAATAGTAATAACCATAATTATTATTATTCATGATGATGATGATGATGATGATGATGATGATGATGATGGTGTTATGGGCTGAACTGTGTTCCCCCAAATTCCTATGCTGATAAAGTCCCAACCCTCAGAACCTCAGAATGTGCCTGTGCTAACCCAAGGTCATTGGGGTGGGCCCTAACCCAGTCTGCCTGGCGTCCTTATAAGAAGAGGAGCTTGGGGTGCAGACACCCAGAGAGGGCAACCGTGTGAGGACAGGGAAAAGGCGGCCGTCTGCAAGCCCAGGCGAGAGGCCCCAGGAGAAACCTGCCCTGCCCACACCTTGATCTTGGATTTCCAGGCTCTGGAACTTTGAGGCAATAAATTTCCGTTGTTGAACCTGCCCAGTCTGTGGTCCTTTGTCACGGCAGCCCCAGCAGACTGGCACAGGAGGCAACAACACGACAGCAGTGAGCGTTTCCTAAGTTCCTCCCCAGGCCAGGGCTGCACTCAGAGCCTCACGGGCAGAGCCGAGAGTCCTGGGTGGAATCACTGGGCTCTCCACGTCCCACAGATGGGCTCCTGGAGGCACAGGGTGGGTAACACCTCGCCAAGGACACACAGCTGACCTGGGGATGTCACACACCCGTCTGAGCCCCAGAGTAAACACCCCAAAGGGCCACGATGCCATCCAGGCTCTGGGCTGGCGATGTGTCACACTACCCAAGGACTAGCGTGCTTGCTGTCATGACCAACAGCATAAGGCCAGGAATGACCCTGAGTCCAACTATCAGAGAGATTAAGGGCAGAGAAGAAGCACAAAAAAGGTCAAATCCGACCCCCCCGTTGTGGCATAAATGGCTGAGGTCCCAGCTGGGGTGGGAGGGGCGGGGGAGAGTGAATTGTCCACGTCACCAGCCGTTCTGGTGGCCAGTTCTGGCGTTGGAGGGGCCTGCACGTCCCACTGGGACTCCTTCCCTGATATGCCATCCCTCACTTTGGACCCTGGGGCTCTCTCTTAGACGAGGTATTGGGTATTTACACAAGCAATGTCAGCAAATGACAATGACAGCAACCTCCCATTTCTAATCCTTCCGTTCAGAGGAAATTATTGTTAACAACTTGTTAAAATGTTTCTAATCATTTGTTTACTTGTAAGTGTATAGGCACGTACATACACAGACCCCACAGAGACACACACACACCCTCTCTAAGGAAAATGGGATCACAAGATTTATAGTATCCTTAACACACTTCTTTTAGGGAACATGTTGGGAAAAATTTGCACGTTAATATGCACAGCTCTGTGCTGTTACCCACAGAGTCTGCATGATCCCACTCAGGTGCCTGGCAAGCTCCAATTATCGGCTCAGGATGTGATGTTTTTGGACCATTATAAACAGCTGTGTATGCACCACGTTGTGCTCTGGTCACCAGATAATTGGGGACAAGTTCTCAAGGGAATTGCCAGGTCAAACATTGCAGGTTTTGAATCAACCTCATAAAGCCTGCACTGCCCTCTGCCCTAGCAGTGACAAGAGTGCTGGCCCCACAGCAGGTGCCCTCAATGACAGTTCTTAGGACACTGTCCAGTCTCCAAAGCCAGCTTAGCAATGGCACCAGGTCCCCTCTTCCCTCTCCGCCCTCCTGCCCAGCCCACTCTCCATAGAAAATCCCAACTTACATAAATCACGCGGCTCGGAGACCCAGAGGTGCTGGAAGCAGGCACAGAAATGATGCTCTCCGAGGAAGTTCTGGTCTCCTAGGAGAGGGGGGAGAGGAGGAGATGCAGACAGGCATTTCAGCATCAGGTCCTCCCAGGCGGTTACACTCCAGAAGAGGAGGGAGGCCCCTCCTTGCACCTTCCTGTGGCGTGGTGACAGCCAGCTACTCCTACACTCAGCAGGCCACCATGGGGATGGGACAGGACCAGGACCAGCATGGGGCCACATGGCAGAGGGCAGGGCAAACCCGCAAGGCATAGGGGCTGGGGCTGGGCAAACCTGATTGCAAATTTGGTTCTGCTTCTAGAAAGGAAAGAGAAGAGGGAAGAGGTGTGATGCTCAACCCACCCTGTCTGCACTCGCTCCTGCTCAGCTCCACCCAGCCCTCTCCATGCCTGGCACTACCTTGTATCTTTCAGGACTAAGCTTGGCTGCCGCAGCTGCCGCCTCCGCCTCCTCCTCCTCCTCCTTCTCCTCCTCCTCCTCCTCTTCCTCTTCCTCCTCCTCCCGAGGTCTGCCTGGCTTCCCTCAGCCCCAGTGCTGCATACTAGTTGAGTGTCAACTCAGGGGTCTGCCTGTCCCCTGGAACCCGGCTTCTGAGGGACAGCAGAGGTTGAGCCCTTGGCCACGCCAGGATGGCAAAGCACCACATGTCACTTGCAAAGAAGGTGACTCCAAGGCCTGTAACACAGGGTCTGCTATTCCTGCTGCCCCTGGGACAAGGTTGTATATTTTACAGGCCAAAATGATGTACGCCTAATTGTTGTAGATTAAAAACACTCTTTGAATCTCAGCTTCCTTCTCCATAAAATGGAAATTCCTCCCCTTTCCATTTCTGGGGCTTAGACCAGAGATGAGGCAAGCAAGGTGCTTAGCACTGAAAAATTCTTGTGACTATTATTTCAACTCAAGCTGGGCTTATGAGATGTCCTTGACAGAGAATGCCCTTCTCTGCAAAGCGGACTCGCATTGGGGGCTTTAAGAGAAACGGTCTACTTTCCCCTAAGCCGAGCACAGCTGCAGCAGCACGAGAACGTCTCCCAGGCTATTTTGCCATCTCCAGTTGAGCCTGGTGCAAGCTGGTGGTTACGCTTAGGAGGAAGGGAGCTCGGGCTGGTTTCTGCACGGGCCCTGGAGGCTGGTTTGCTCAGGCATGTCTGAGGCGGGTCACAGCCCTCTCTGGGCTCAGGTCTCAGCTCTGAGAGGAGGAGGAGGAAGAGGAGAGGAGGAGGCCTCCCCTGAGCTCAGGGAGCAGAGAGAGCAGAGAGGGCATCTTCCCCAGGGTGAGGAGGCGGGAGCTTTTTCTGACTTTCTCTCTATCCTGACTCCAATTTGCCCAAAGGAGTTTCCCGAGGACAGTCCATATCCGTGGGTTCTCCCCGGGCCGGAGGGAGAGTGCCTTGTTCAGACACACAGAGGCAGGGCCGTGAGCTCACCCAGCTCCAGCCCCCACTGCCTTCTCCAGCTTCACCTGGCCCCAGGGAAGCAGCTGTCCTACAAGAGTGACAGGACACCAGATTCTCACTAAGGTTGACCTCCTCGTCTCCATGTTAAAGCCAAGGGGCTGAGACTCAGAGAGGGATACTGACTTGCCCGAGGCCACACAGCTAGGAAGAGGCAGAGCTGGACTCCAAGGCCACAGCTTGTTCTATCACCTATAGCTGCTGCTGAGAATTCTGTTAGAACATTCCTACTCACATTCGGCCAAATGGGCCTACCTCTGGCTTTCTGGGCAGGCTAAACAGGCCTGTTTCCTCCTCGTTTTGTGGCCCCACAGTCTCCAGCTCCCTCCCAGGCTCACACCCCCAGTGATGCTGGCTTGGGCCTCTGTGCACTGGGAAGGCCTTACTCTGAAGGAGACCAGGAGGCATCGCCATGGAAACCCACAGCCTGCAGGACCAGCCGGCCAGGCCAGGGCCCCTCCCCTGAAGTCACTCAGCCCCTGGCCAGAGTGGGAGCCCCTCCCAGCCCAGCTGTCCCTGCGGTCACCTTCACTGTTCTCAGGACTCGACTCTAGCTGCCCAGCGAGCACAAGGCCAACTCTCTGCCACATCGCTCTGAAACCCTCACGCAGTCCCTTGCAGGTCACTCATAGACACAGCACTCAGAGCCAAAACTGGGCTGGGCTGCAAGTCACAGCTCCAGCATGCTCGGAGATTCCCACCCTGGCGGGCCTGGCCCTCCCTCACTCACAGCACACCTCAGAGCCTGCAGCCCCCACTGCCTCCCCCAGCAGACAGGAGCTCCCCAAGAGCAGGGACCCCCAGGCCTTATTCACCTCTGTGTTCCAGGCACCCAACTCCAGAATGCACGAAGTAGGCACTTAGCGGCTGTGTGCTGAATGACCATACGACCAAATGCCCAAGGACACACTCAGGACAGGGCAATTAAGACCACACCCTTGGCAGATGCCCAGGGACATCTCACATGTGGTACTTGTCCTGGGGTGCTCCCATCCGTGTGGAGGGGGGCAGCCATGGAGGCAGGAAAACCTTCCCGGCCAAGACCAGCGGCACAGTATGCACCCTCCTCCCCACGTCCTCGTAGGGATCCAGGGTTCAGGCAGTGGAGACCAGTGTGCCCTCCTTCCCATGTCCTCCCGTGGATGTAGGGTTCAGGGATTCAGGTACCCACCTCTCTTGCTGGAGAACAACCCTGAGGCAGGGGTGGAGCTGTCTCTGCTGAGGGCCATGAGCCCGAGAGCGGCCCTGTTACATGACAGCTGAGCACATGCCCCGGACAGATGTCATTTCTCCTCTTGATTACCAGGCAGTGTGGTGGGAGGTGGGACCACCTCTACCTGGGTGACAGTTTCAGCGTTAATGATGCAGCTGCCACCTCATGTTGTGTTTCTCAGGGGCTGACGGTGCCTGGTTTATGCACATTCACTTAGTAACTGGCTGCCTGGCCTCTGCCCCACATGTTGAGCAAAGCCAACTAGCCCCCTTTTATAAACAATTGTTTCAAAAGCATCTTCGAAAAATAGAGCCTAGGAAGCTGACTCTGCCTGCACAGGCCCATAAGGACAAGGACCCCTTCTTCCCTGTCCCGCAGCATCTGGCCGCTCTGAGGGCCTCCCTACCACTGGGCCTGTGGCCTGGAGGCCAGCTCAGTTGGCATCAATGCTGAGGCTGAGGGTGGAGCTGCCGCTGCCAGACCAGGCCACGGCCAAGGGCCCTGTAGCCAGCTGGTGCAGGCCACCCGAACCTGTCCCTGAGGGGAACTGAATGTGCCCATGGTCTCCCTTTCCTGCCTGGTCAGTCTCAGGAGACAAGGTGGGAGTTCCCCGTGCACATGCCTGGAACCTGGTCGGGCCCTGTCCGCAGGTCTTCTGCCCAGATAGACGCCAGGGCCCAGGGCCCTGTCCGCAGGCCTTCTGCCCAGACAGACGCCAGGGCCCAAAGTCCTGTCCTCAGGCCTTCTGCCCAGACAGACACCAGGGCCCAGGGTCCTTCCTATCCGCAGGCCTTCTGCCCAGACAGACTCCAGGGCCCAGGGTCCTTCCTGTCACAGACGCCAGGGCCCAGGGTCCTTCCTGTCCGCAGGCCTTCTGCCCAGACAGACGCCAGGGCCCAGGGTCCTTCCTGTCCGCAGGCCTTCTGCCCAGACGGACTCCAGGGCCCAGGGTCCTTCCTGTCCGCAGGCCTTCTGCCCAGACGGACTCCAGGGCCCAGGGTCCTTCCTGTCCGCAGGCCTTCTGCCCAGACAGACGCCAGGGCCCAGGGTCCCTTCTGCAGGCCTTCTGCCCAGACAGACTCCAGGGCCCAGGGTCCTTCCTGTCCGCAGGCCTTCTGCCCAGACAGACTGCAGGGCCCAGGGTCCTTCCTGTCTGCAGGCCTTCTGCCCAGACAGACTGCAGGGCCCAGGGTCCTTCCTGTCTGCAGGCCTTCTGCCCAGACAGATGCCAGGGCCCAGGGTCCTTTCTGTCCACAGGCCTTCTGCCCAGACAGACGCCAGGGCCCAGGGTCCTTCCTGTCCGCAGGCCTTCTGCCCAGATAGACGCCAGGGCCCAGGGTCCCTTCCGCAGGCCTTCTGTCCAGACAGACGCCAGGGCCCAGGGCCCCGTCCGCAGGCCTTCTGCCCAGACAGACACCAGGGCCCAGGGTCCCTTCCGCAGGCCTTCTGCCCAGACAGACGCCAGGGCCCAGGGCCCTGTCTGCAGGCCTTCTGCCCAGACAGATGCCAGGGCCCAGGGCCCTGTCTGCAGGCCTTCTGCCCAGACAGACGCCAGGGCCCAAGGCCCTGTCTGCAGGCCTTCTGCCCAGACAGACGCCAGGGCCCAGGGTCCCGTCCGAGTCCCAGGCAGGATGCTGCCTTGCTCGCCTCTGAGGCCCGGGCGCCAGGGACAGTCTGGAGAATGAACCATGGACCACATCAGCCACTGGAGAGGACGGAAGAATTCAGTGTGCCGCCACCTCCTGCCCTCCCTGCCGTGGAAAGCAGGAGCGGGATTCGGTGATGGGGCTGCCCTGCGGCTGAGGGGACTGCGCACGCAGAGCTACTGAGCACAGCGTTGTGGAGACAGGGAGGAGCCTCTGCCCTGCCCCAGCCTTCGCGCTGCCCTGCCGCCCTCCAGCTCTCCCCCCGAATCCTCCTCCAGCTGCTCTCGGGATACCACCCACGCCTGCGCCCGCGCCCTCGGCTCAGGGTCTTAGCTGGCTGGGTGTGCTGCCCAGCAGAGGAGCTGCCCTCCAGGGGCCCTGATGCCAGTGTCACACAGCTTAGCTCAGAGAGTCCTGCACCTGAATTCTGTCCCAGACCCTAATAGACACTTGAATAGCCCACTTCGTTCCCTGCAGGTTCAGTTGCTGTCTTTCCATCTCTCAAAGAGGAGCCCAGACCTGCTGCTACAGGACGTCTGTGTCACTCAGGACCCTCAAGGTAGCCATTTGGTGATCTGGGCGGCGCTCCAGGACCCAGTGAAGGAGGAAGTGGAAGGCCAGGGGTCGCTGTGATCCTGTGGCTGGACCAGGACGTGGCCTGACCTGTGGGCTGTAGGGCTGTCCTTGGCCACAGACCACCGGCCAGGCGGTCCCTGTCCTCTGCACTGTCTTGGGCCCCCGTGGGCCGGGGCTTGTGGCAAGGATCCCGATGGGGCATCCCTGGCATGGGGCCTGCACACACAGGAAGCCCGACCTGGCTGACTTGTCCCTTCCCTGCCAGGGCCTGTGGTCCTGTGGCTGCAGTTCACCCTCTGGAGTCTGTTCCTTCCTTCATTTAACAAACACGAGTCTCTGCCACATGCCAGGACTCAGGCCAGGAGCTGGGACTCTGGAACCAGGAGTCTTTCCTCCAGGCTCCTGGTGGGCTCAGCAGGAGGGGCTGACTGGTCTGATGGGGTACGGGCTCCATGACGCGGCGCACAGGTGATCTGTGAGCCTTCCACCTGGCAGGGGTGGGCGCAAGCAAGGACTCAGGGTCATGGGGAGGAGTTGGCAACGTCTTCAGGGGTGACATTCAAGGTGGATCTTAAAGGCCTTGAAGTAGGCATTTTCTGGGATGCAAGAGGAGGGGAGGGCCTCCCGGTGGAAGGAACAGCATTTGCAGAGGCGCAGAGGCCAGAGACGGCATAGCCCTGAGCAGGGGTGCATCTGCTCGGGTGGAGCGCAGCTGGGGTGTGGACTAGTAGATGGTAATGGGAATTCTGCCCTCCCTCCAGGCACTGCCACCAGCATCCTCTCAGCTCCTGGGGCTTGCCGGCTCCTTCCTGCCTCGGGGCCTTTGCACGAGCTGGTGGCCCTGCCTGACACCCTCAATTCCCATCCTCATCATGGCTGACTCTGCCCCTTAGCTCCACGCTGAATTCCTCTGGAGGCTTCGGCTGACATCTTGTCGAGGTGGGCTCTCCCCTGCTGGCCTCCTCAGGACCCCCATTGGCTTCCTTCAGTGCACCTGCTACATTAGCCTCCGTGCCACTGTTTGTGTGTTGAGGTGTTGCCTGCCGGCACGCCAGCTCCAGGGTGGCCAAGTACTGCCCGCTTGCCCACGGCTGCACCTCCCGTGCCTGGCGCACAGCAGGGTGTCTGTGTAGTAGAGGATTCGGCCTTACCCAAGGGAGGACTGGCCTTTGCCGTTGGTTTCTGGGAAGGAGCCTGTGTTCCACCTGAGAGGAGCACCTTTGTTTGTGGAGGGGGTTGGCCATCTTAGGGTGGCGGGCAGCCAATCACATGACTTAGGGGAGGAGCTTTGGGTTCCATGGTATCAGCTGACCTGGCAACTAGTATTAATCGACCAATCACAACTATGTCCCGGAGCCCCAATCAAAGCTGGGGACACTGAGCTTTCCTGGTTGGCAATACTCCACGCACACTGCTACGGCAGTGCTGGGAAGCCAACGTGCCCCAACTCCATGGGGAGAGGACCACAGAAGCCTGGTGTTGGGACCCTCCTGACCCGGCCCACGCGGCTCTTCCTTGGCCGACAGCACTCTGTACCCTTCCTCCCTGTGATGAACCATAACCATGGGCTCGCCACATTCCACAAGGTCTGTGAGCCCTTCCAGTGTCCGTTAAGCCTGGAGGGAGGGGAGGCTTGAACACAGAACTGGTGTCAGAAGTGGGGGCGCTCTTAGGACTGTTGGGGCCCCTTCAGCAGCACAGTCATCCCCAAGCTCTCACAGCTATCGGTGCTCACTGAGCGAGCCAAGTCAGCAGGGCCCAGCACGGAGGCTCCTCAATGTCCCTTTGCTGCAGTTGAATGTCTCTCCAAAGCTCATGAGTTGGAAACTTGGTGGCCCTTGTGGCAGTGTCAGAGGTGGGGCCTTTGGGAAGTGATTGAGCCATGAGGGCTCCACCCCCACGAATGGATTAATGTCATTATTGCGCGAGTGGGTTAGTCATCGAGGGAGTTCAGCTCTTCTCTCCATCTCATAAACTCTCACATCCTCTTGCCCTTCCGCCATGGTGGCCCTCACCAGCGGCCAGCACCACGCTCTTGGAATTCCCCACCTCCACAGCCATGAGCCAAATAAACTTTTTTAAATAAGTTACCCAGTCTGTGGTATTGTTACAGCAACGGGAAACCAAGACACCCTTGTTATGCCTCGCCTCATCTCTCACCTGATCCACCTGCTTGCCCCCTGCCACCTCCTAAGCCTTGTTGCCCTCCCCCCACAGCCTGTGTGCCTGGCCAGCGACCTGTGGAAGCTGGTCGGTGTCCTCTTAATTGTATGAAGATTGCATGTGAGCGAGGAAGATTACATTGGAGAAACTAGTAAATTCCACCAACCTTGTTTTTGTCTTCAGTTCTGGCCGCTTGTCGACATGCCGGATGCCAGATGGAGGAACCTGTGGACAAATTCCCAAGGGGGGAGGGATTAGAGTCATTCCCATGACTTGGGGGCCTGTGTGGAAAGTCAGAGGAGGGACACTCACTTGAATGCCCTCCAAGCAGCCCGAGCATCCCTCTGGGCCAGGGTGGCACTGGGCATGGGACTCCCAGATCACAGTGCTCACAGCCTGCTTTTGGGTGGAGGCATGAAATAAACAGGCCAAGTTCCTGCAACGTGCTAACTGCTCCCACAGGAAGAGGCACAGGGTCCCGAGGAACCTGGGGGTGGGGAGGAGGCATCTCACCCAGCCTGGGGCAGCCAGAGAATGCGCCTCAGAGGAGAGCACACGAGAGCTGGTCTCAAGGGCAGAGGCAGGGGGAGAGAGAAGGGCCTCCCTGGGCAGAGCCCACTGAGGCAGGCTCAGCATTGAGGGCAGTGGCCAGGCCCACCCAGGGGCACAGCTGGGACGGAAGCTGAAGTGGGGACCGGGCTTGGGGAGGAAGACTTTGAGGGTGGAGCTGTCAGCTAAGAGGTCAGAAGGGAGAAGCTCAGGTGGGAACTTAGGGTAGTAGGGGCTTAAACGTGTGTGTGGAATGAAGGAACTCATCCCATTCCCTGCTTGCAAAGGCTTCCAGTCACGTGGGTTTGATCACCGCTCCTCCCCGGGAGCAGAGCTGCATCTGCACAGAGCTCCGAGAGACCGTGATTGGAGTTGTGTGTATGTGTTTGTATAAAATGCTTATTGTTTTCTAATTTTTTATTATAAAGGCAATATATATCCATTATTAAAAATTATAAAAACCTAAAAAAGTATCAATAAGAAAATTAAAACCATCTATACTCTCTCACCCACTTTTTGCGGGCTGCCCTCCAGTAGACATGTGTGTTCTAAATGGAATGCAGCTCACGTGCACATATAATAGCTTCAAATCCTGCATCTTTTGCTTAAAAATATCTTAAACATTGCCTCGTATAATTAAATATCAAAAAATGCAACTCTAAGGGCTACACAACATTCCATAGTAAGGATGGATGTGAATTTATCTTATTTACTTGTCGGTACCACTGCTGGGCCCATGTGCACACCTGGCACACACCTGGAAATGGAGTTTGGCTCCAAGGGCATGGACACGCTCAGGGATCGTGAGAGTTCTGTCAATTCCCACTTTCCACCTACCAGCGGCAAGAGGCCTGTTTCCTTGCATTTTCAGTGACACAGGGGCTCACACTTCCTTTTTACCTCTGTCAACACAGTGGGACAAAGTAGCATCTAAAGTCCATTTTAACTGGGCTTCTAGACAGTGAGCACCAACTGCCCTCCCACATGCTAGGGACAGCGCCTGTGCTGGGGGCAGTGGTGGTGCTGAGGTGGTGCCTGTCTCGTCACCCTTGGAGACCCTGGGGGCACCAGGACCCATGCTCTGCAGGGCTCCTGTGGCAGAAGATAACCTTGTCAATGACACTTTCGTGGGCCCTGACACCCAGGCAGGCCAGGCAGGCGCCTCAGACAGGATGCCCCGGCAGGGTCTGCTCCCTGGAGCAGAACTAGATGGTCACCAACCTGGTCTGATCTGTCATCGCACAGACTGGGGACTCCAAGGCCTGGAGCGGGGCAGGCCAGGCTTCAGTGACCCATGGACAGTCACAGCAGGTCCCACTTTAGAAACGAAGAGCCTCTTTGTTCCCAAGACCAGGCCACCCTGGACATGAGCTCGCAGCCCCGGGCTACTGTCCCAGCGCCATTGTGCTCTGCCTCAGTCGCTGTCATCTGAGAGCACAATGGTGCTAACACAGTGGGGCTGAGACCCAGGCAGAGCAAGCCCGCCTGCCCCGGCAGCCCAGCACTGTGGGGTGGGCCCAAAGGACCCCTTCACGGGCTCTTGAGCAGAGACTCGAGGAACAACGGTGACACTGGGGACGAGGCCGTGACGTCACCCCACTGGGTTCGGCCTCAGAAAGGGAGGCCTGTCCGACAGGCAGCCCTGAGAGGACGGCTGGGTGAGGTCATGCAGCACCTGCAGGAGGCGTGCATGGCAGATGCCACACAGCAGCTCTCTCACCACCGGCCCAGCCCAGCTGGCCTCTGGGGTCACTTCAGACACAAATCTTTGAAAGGAAGTAGGGGCTAAAGAGAAGTCTCAATACCAGAGCCCTCCTTGCCTGAGCCCTGGGGACGGCGCCTCCGGCACAGGACGGCTGTGACACCCTCACCCGCCCTGGGGCAGCCCGCAGGTCAGGCTCCTCTGAGTCCTCTTCCCCACTTGGTCTCGACCTTGGCCCTGCCTCCGCCTCAGCCTTAGGCCTGCCTTGCCCAGGCTGAGCAAGACTCCTGCTAAGCCAGCTTAGCGGAACACGCACCCTTACATCTGATCACCTCCACCCCCACCTCTGGCGCCCAAGTCCTTGGCCTGACTTCAGCAGGAATCCCACCACCGGCCTGTAGCTCCCCTGCGACCCCTCCCTGCCTCTCGGCCATCGTTCCCCAGTTTCGGTGAGATTTGGAATCCAGCCTGCCTCTCTCTGACCCCTGGGGCCACAGTCCAGAATGGTCTTCCTCACCGTTTGTAACGAGCGACAGGATAGTTTTCTTTACCAGGGAGGGCTCAGAGAACGGGCAAGCCACAGGTGAGGGGGTTGTCCACGCGACAAAGCAAGGCGTCACTCTCAGCGCACACACCCCCAAAGCACGGCTAGGAGGCCCAAGTACGGCACCCCAAACATGCCTCTTTGGCATAAGGATTATTTGGGGAAACAGCAGGCTCAGAAAAGCTTTGAAAACAGAGCAGAAGCAACCCTCCTGTGAGGGAACTGATGTCCCTAAAGGACACCTCCTCCCGCACCGGGACAGGAGGATGACACCGGGCCACCGGAGTCTCCTGCCAGCGGGGAAGGTGCACAGCGAACTCCCCTGCTGACAGGGCCCGTCTCGACAGGGGCGTGCTGCACACACTGTCCTCTGCGCCAGGGAAGGGCGCGTCTAAGCCGGACACCAGGGCTGCCCTGCTCGTGACGAGCGCCCGTTCCGCTGAGCTCTCTGCGCATGCGTGCGGCACACGCGTCTGCACGCTTGTCCTGTTGATCCCTCGCGGCAGGTGTCCATCCCAAGGACCATGAAGGGTGGAGAGGAAGGTGTTTTTCCTTCCCTACAGGAGCTCTCATCTCCCTCCTTGCCTGCCGGTTGCCATATACGTCGTAAAGAAATAAATGGTGGCTGAATGCCATTATTGGAATGCCAGTTTAATTGTTAAAATGAGAAGCAAAGAGCTAAAAAAAAAAAAAGGTTACTCTGGAAGAAGGGGAGTGATGATCCTTGTCAAGCCTTGTCTTTTCTTCAGATCCGGCAGTCATAGGCTACCCCTCCTTTTATTATTATTAATTTTTTAATGGTGAATGGGTTGGGGGGGGTCCCACAAAATGCCATGCAATGCGTAAGGGGGTCAGTGTTTTCCTCCAAAACCCTCCTTTCCCCGACACTGTGCCGGGCAGGCCGCCCTTGCTGCAGAGGAAGGCCTCAGCCCTGCCAGCGGAGGCCCGCCCGGCCTGTTACCGCTCCGGACAGAGGGAGGGTGCAGCAGGAGCAGGAAACGCCTCAACTCTTAACTTGGACTCTGGGCTGGGAGGCTCTCTAGAAGAATCCTAAAGTGACAGCATACGTAACAGACTATATTTGTCTAAGTTTTGCTACTGGGACCCAAGGTGCTAACACTGTGGGAGCTGATGTTTCATCCAGTCCTTTCTCATCACACCCATCTCAGGCTCGCTGAGGGCAGCCGGTGGGTGAGGCAGCTGACAAAGCCACCCTTGGGCCCCACCCTGCCTTGCCGGCTCTGCTGAGAGCCTGGGTGCTCCCAAACTAGCAGGACGACACACGGGGCCAACCAGCTCCTGCCCAGCACACGGCACGGACCCAGTGCGTGACAGTTTCTTGCTCCAGGGCACTAAACAGCATGTTTTTATTTTTACCTTGAAGATACATCTCTTCTCCTTCTGCGAACATCTGGCCACACCTCACACATAGCGCGCACGAAGGGTGGTAGTGTTTCTCCCCCGCCTGCAAGGAAGCACAAAGCAGGGGTGTTTCTACTGAAGGGAGAAATGTCCCCTGGCCGTAGCACCTGGCCTGGACATAGCACAGGTGCGCAGGGGGTGCTGGAAGGTGTGCTAAACACCAAATGGCCCCACAACCTTTGGGACCAAAGACCCTTCCATGGATCCCAGACCCAGGGTGCCCCTGAGCAAGGCCCAGCTGCACTTGCCAGACCGGAAGGAGACCCGCGTCCAGCTTCCTCCGGGGCTTAGCAGGCATCAAGGAAGGAGCCTGGTCCCCCTCACCTGAGTGTCTCCTCGCCTGCGTATAACATTTTCTCCCCAGGAGGAGGGACTGCAGAAGTGGGATGGAAAATGATTAATAATTTTCTTTCTGCATCTCTGTATTGCTCAATTTGTTCAATTAGCATTTTTGATTTTTATAACTCTTAAATTCCATTAAATTAGGTTACAAACATTAATACTGAAATAACCTAAACAAATTACAGTACCTGGTTTGGCTTATTTTTGCATAGAGAAAAAAATGCCCTTGAATATTGTATCCAATGTCACTTTGCAGGGCCCATTTCCTAACCTTGGAGAACAGAGGGCCGTAGCCTGCAGCTGAATGTGGCTGCCAAGTCCCCATGTTTCCTCCTTCCCTAAAATGGGAAGAGGATTCATAATTACTACTGAATTTGAAGGGTAGTAATCGCTTTCTGGAATGAGTAACGGGGTCATTCCAAAACTCTCATTTTTCTCTTCTATGCCTACTGGCACCTTCCCCTACGATGAAAACACGCCCACGGTGGCCCCTGAGTATTGGAAAGAAGGATTCAGAACCCCTCCTCTCCTGTGTGGGGCCTGAGGTGGCCTCTTCGCCCAACCTCCGGCCGACTGCAAGGCCCCTTGAGTCTTCAGGCGAAGGGACCCCTCCCACAGCAAGACGCTGCCCACTCCTGGCGGCCTCAGGCCCAGGCGTGGCCGGAGCTGGCCCCTCCACCTGGAGCGCCTCCCCGCGCAGCCCCCAGGCCACCCTGCAGGCTCTCCACCTCTCCCAACACCTCCTCCTCTCAGCTTCCCTCACTCACGCTCCAGCCCCGTGTTCACAGGTGCAGCCACTTCACTCGCTCGCTCCCCCACCCCCGCCCCCGCCCCCACCCCTGCCCCGCAGGTGCCTCCCAGGCACGTGGGCCGCCGTCAGGGCGCTGGCGCCAGGCAGCGGTCAGGACAGCAGGGCACACCCCAGCATCGGCCCCAGAGCGAGGGCGCACCGTCATTTCGGGGTTGCAGTCGCCGGGACACCGAGTGGTCAGAGCGGCAGGCTCTCCTTGGGGTGCGGACGAGAGACTGAGACAACTCAGTATTTTTAGAAGTAAAATTCACCTGAAAATAACCTCACAGAGGTAACTGGTGACTCACCGCATTCATAACGACCCGAGTGCAAATTCCCGAGTTTGTGATCCCCAGCCCGTCCTCACGCCCACCTCCTCCAGGTGCCCTCACCTCACACTGAGGGGTACAACCCCCCGCCCCGCCTGTCCCATGACTACTAACGGCAGGAGTTCTGCGATAGCCACACGGGAGACGGCATGTCCTACAGAGCACACAAAGCCTGCTGTCTACACCACGTATCTACGCAGCACGTCCACATGTGAATCGGAGAGATTCTGATTCTGTTGGGGACAGTTTCCAAGATGACAGGCTTGAATTCCCCTTGGCAACAGTGGCTGCTGTCTCTATGGCTTGTGCCAAGAAGCTCTTTACACATATTAACTTGGTTAATCCTTTCAACAGCGCTATGAAGCATATTAGTACCCTCACCTTTCATAAGAGGCACAGAGAGGTGAAAGAACTTGAGCAAAGTCACACAGGAGGTAGGAGACGGAGCTGGCATGAGGGCCCAGGAGTCTGGCCCCTGAGTGCAGTTTAAGCCCACGCCTTGGGGGCCGGCAGTCCCCAACTCCATGGGATGGGTCTCAACCCTGGGGCATGGACCCCACCCTCACATGCTCCCTGCCATGGCTTGAATATCTGTCCCCTCCAAAACTCACATTGAAATTTAATCCTAGTGTGGCAGTACTGAGACGTGGGGCCTGCAAGAGTTGACTGGGTCACAAGGACTCTGCCTTATGAGTGGATTAGCCCACCCATGGATCGACAGGTTGTCACAGAGACGGACTGGTGGCTTTATCAGAAGAGAGACCTGAGCCAGCACACTCAGCCTCTGCCGTGGGACACCCTGCGCCACCTCAGGGTCAGCAGAGCCCCCGCCCGCACGAAGGCTCCCGCCAGATGTGCCCTCAGCCTCGGGCTCCTCAGCCTGCATGGTGGTAAGAAACAAATCCTCTTCTTTATGAATTACCCAGCTTCAGGTATTCTGTTACAGGCAGCTGCAAACAGACGAAGGCACTCCTCAACCCTCATGCACGGAACGAACAACGTGGAGGATGTGACGGCCTGACATTAAGCAGAAGCCACACAAGAGCACAAGCCCCATTTTGTGAAGCTCAGAAGCACACAAAACAGCGTGCGTTGTTAGGTGCTCTTGGGGCAGTAACCAACAGGCCCCCGGGAGCCTCTGGGGACATCGGGCAGGGTCTCCTTCTTGAACTGGGTGCTGGTTACATGGGTGTGTCCAGTTTCTGAAAAGATATCAATTGCACACGTACGATTCCTGCACTGTGTGTTACATGCCAACAAAAGAGTTTTCTCACAAAATGGATCAAAGACCTAAACGTAAGAGCTAAAAATGTGGAACTACAGAAGAAAACATCCCAGTGACCTCAGATTTGGCAATGGACTCTTAGATTTGACACCAAAAGCATGAGCAACAGAAGAAAAAACAGATAAATTGGACTTCATCAACATTAAAAACTTTTGTGCATCAAAGGGCATTGTCAGGAAAGCGAAAAGACAGCCCAAAGGATGAGAGAAAATATTGTGAATCACATATCTGATGAGGCTGTAGTATCCAAAATGCAGAGAGCATCTGCAACTCAACAGCAAAAAGACCAACAGCCAATCAAAAAATGAGCAAAAGATTTGAATAGACATTTCTTTAAAGACAATATATATTGCTGTGAGTTAGGCTGACGCCACGACACTCTAGCCGGGGCAACAGAGTGAGACTCTGTCTCAACAGCAAAACAAAGACAATATATAAATGACTGACTGGTACATGAAAAGATGTTTGACATCATTGTTATTAATGCAAATCAAAACCACAGGAGACACCACTTCATACCCACCAGGGTGGCTATCATAACAACAAAAAAGGAAAATAAAAAGTTGGTGAGGATGTAGAGAAATATAAACCCTCGTACAATTGGTGGTGGGAATGCAAAATAATGCAGCTACAATGGAAAATAGTTTGTCAGTCCCTCAAAAAGTTAAGCACATAATTACCATACAATCTGGCAATCCCACTCCTTGGCATTTAAGAAAACAAGAACAGAACAGGAGAATGAAAATGTAGGTTCACACAAAACTCATACATGAATGTTCATAGCAGCATTATTATACAATGACCAAAAGGTCCAACAACCCGAATGTCCATCATGGACAAAGAAACTGGTCTATCCATACAAGGGAACATTATCCGGCCACAGAAGGGAATGGCGTACCAACACTTGCCACGCACAGACCAACACTGAAGACACGTTGGGTGAAAGAAGCCAGACACAAAAGGCCACTTACAAGATTCCTTCCATATGTAACGTCCAGAACGGGCAAATCCAGAGACAGGAACAGATGAGTGGTTGCCAGGGGCTGGGGGGAGGAGGGGAGTGACTGCTCAGTGGGTGGGGGGTTTCCTTTCGGGGCGATAAGAAGGTTTGGAACCAGGGAGAAGTGGAAGTTGCACAACATTGTGAATGCACCAAAGGCTACGGAATGGCACATTATAAATTGTTAATTGCATGTTATGTGAATTTCACCTCAATTTTTTTAAAAAAAAGGTTGGTACCCAGATGGGTAACTTCTTATTACCCACCGTAAGCCAAGCATCGCACTAAGTGCTTTCCTTGAGTTGCTCAAGTTCATCCTCAGGTCAAGCCCGTGTGGTGGGCGTTGTTCTCCACCCCCACTTTCCAGACGAGGAAATCAAGGTTTAGGGAGGCAGGAGACCTACCCAAGGCCAACATCAAAACATGCAGGAGCCAGGATTAGAACCCATGGGACTGGGAGCTGCCTCCTGGGAAGACATCCTCCGGCCTTGGGGACACAATAGCCACCAGTGGTGGCTGAGCCCTGCAAGTCCTGGTCCCAGCACACTGTTCCCTGTAGACAGCCTTCCTCCCATACCCAAGGTGGGGGCATGGAGAAGGAGGGGTGTAGAGCACCTACTATGTGCTGAGAACACAGACAACAGCCTGCGACACACACACGGCATGTGCCCAGCTCACTGTGCTGAGGAGGAGCTGGGGTCCACAAAGCCACCATGTGAGCCACGTGAGAGCCAGTGCCACCTCTGTACCCTTCCACTGACTGCATAGCCTCGGCTTCATGGGAAGGAGGCCCTCAGCCTCGTGGCCAGGAGCCAGCCCCTCCTCCACAGTTTAGACCCCTTGTCTACAAAGTGCGAAAGGCAATGGCCCAACCAAATTTCAAGGGGGCTCCATGTTCTGGAACATTCCATCTGTGGGGAAGAGACAGGGCTCAGGTGCCTGTGTCTCCAGGCCCCAGAGACATCAGGGGCTGTCCAGTTGACTGAGGAAATGTGCCTGCAGGTGCCCTGGCCTGTCCCTGGCCCATGGCTGGGGCCATGGAGGTAACGGGTTCCAGCTCAGATCTTCACTTCCTGGCTGTGTGACTTGGGCTGGTGTCATGTCTTGGGACTTGGGGTCCCTATTTGTAAAATGGAGAGGACTGTCCCTCCCTCCAGGCTGGGGTAGGATATCTGGGCTCTCTGGCTCCAGGGGCATTTAGCCAGAAGTAACCATATGGTGAAAGTCGCCCCATCCCTACCCCACACTCTCTGCTGGGAGCAATTGGGTTACAGGTGGCCAGTGATGGCTAATGGAG